TCCGCAGCTCCGGGAGACCGGTGGCCAATGGCAGGATCGTCAATGGAGCCAGTCGTACTGGGGAAGTTGGGGCCAGTCCTGGGACTCGTGGTGGTCTGATGATCAGCGCCCGTGGAAGAGCTCCCGCAATTGGGATTGGCGATGAATGAGCGATCTCTTCGACAATATTTTCTATCTTCGGCTGACATCCATTTACATTTCAAATTCAATTTCCATTATACTTCTCAATCATGTTGGCCGAGGATCAATGTACAGTGCACGAGCACGCCTCGCGAGAGCGACGGTCAGTGGAGGCGGAAGACCTTAGCTACCGATCGCTCAAATCCAAGTGCTTGTGTGCTGCAAAATGACATCATGCCTATCGGGTTTCTTTGGTTGTCTCATCCCTTTCATTTGTCCTCCTGTTTCACATTCGGGCACGGGGGGTGTAGTTTGCAACGTGATGTATTTATCAACCATGTAAACCCCAATGCATGCATGTCTCACTTGTGCAGTCTCATCATTACGACTGCACGTGGCTCAAGGAAAAAGCGCGCTGAGTACAGGGTTCAATTGTGACCCTTCCCGGTTGTTTAACCTGTTCTATAAGTTGGGCTTGTGTGTTGAGGGTGCGACTTTCAGTTTTTACTTGTGTTTTAAGGGAACCCCAATGCAAACCACAATTTTGTGGGGTCCTTTTTTTTTTCTTGGTGCTTTCGCTTTTGGCGCCTTTCCTGTAAAATAGATAGGGCCAAATGGTGGGGACTGTTGGCACTTCCAAATCTGACAAAGCCAGCAGAAAGACAATAACACTACTAACACCACTTGCTTGGGGTCAAGCGATGAAATCGCACATGGGGGAAGTTCGTATGTGCAGCGATGATTTGAATACATTCGTTCACCGTTGTTGGCATGTGTTTGTGTTGTTTAGTCTGTTTATGTTCCGGCCGCGGCTGCAAAAAGAGAAACATTTTCGCTACCATATCGAGGGTTGCAAAGACACTGGGCATATCTTGTTGCAGTTCTGGATTCAACCATTTGTTCGTCTCGGCTTCGCAGGCCAAGCTAAACTTTGTGCCGGTCAATTGCCAGACCTGGAGTCTCTATGACCCCCTAAAAATGGGTCATACCCCAAAAACAAGGGGTCATGACCCCATTCTTAAAGGGTCATGGAGACTCCAGGGACAGACCCGGGGTGTGACTTTGGGGGCTCAAGCCTGGTGATGGATATGCTCTAGTCAGGACTTTTGTCGCCCCATACCCCGCGGGCGGCACCTCCATTCGGCAGCCTTTGTTGGGAGTGCGCTCGAGACAAGGCGAGGGCCCCAGTGTGATCGACTTTTTGAGCAAGGTGAACTGCCCTTAAAAAGTGGGGTCATTACCCAAAATAATGGGGTCATTGACCCATTTTTAATGTGTCATGGAGACTCCAGGTGGTCCTCACTTCCTGAGTTCCTGGACTTTACATGTTTTGGGAAGACAATTTCAGCGGTAAATGAAAAGTTCGGGCTTTTGTTGGACCCTCCACTCAGGCAGCGAGAAGGTGAACTGGATTGAACTCACAGTATTGCCAAGTGCTGCTGTTGTTTTTGGAGGGCACACCCTCGTCTGCGGTTTGAAAGGGAAACCAAAAGGAAAGCCACACATTTGGGCGGGGGGCCCTATGAAAAGACACTCATATTGACTGGGCAAATCTTCTAAAGAGCTCACCTCAAGGTAGAAGGAGCGAGGAAGGACCGCTTGGGGGTTTCTCTTTTCAGGCTTGAAGTGCGATTTGCCCAGTCGAGCCGTGGCTCGGGGAAAAACAAAAACTCATATGGTCCAAAGGCAAGCGACCTGTTTGAAGCCTTCTGAGAAGTTGCCCCTGCGGCCATTTTAAACCAAGGTCTCAAAAGGTGATCACGATTTTGCTTTGAGGTACGAAGAAACCAGCTACAGGAAATTCTACAGGACATCCTTGTGTTTCCTCACATGCGTGTCTGGGGTGTGTTACTTCTATTGCGTCATTCTTCCCGGCGCGGTGCCCCTGCCTGCTCCTCCTCCCGCTTCTCCTTCCGCTCACTCGGACTCCGTCACTCACACTCAGTCACTCAGTCAGTCACACGCCTACTCAGACTTGCTCACACTTGCTCTAGCATTGGGCGATCCAAAGCGGCAAACGGCCGCCTGGCAGCCAAAAGCTTTCAGCAAAGCTCCATCTTCAGGTTTTGAATGGATCTCCTACCCTTGGGTGTGTTGGTTTGGGCTTATTTGGATTTGAACCCCTAGTTCTCGAGGGTAAATGGGAAACCACCCCCACCACCAAACTCGCTCGCTCACTCACTCGCACACTCAGACACTTGCTCTTTCATGCGTTGACTCACAGTCTCTTACACGGACTCATTCACACAATCATTCATTGAAACCCGCTACCTGAGACTCATCACTCGAGCACTCACCTAGAGCTCTGGCGCTGACTCGTTCAGCCCCCCCTTCCATAAGCTCTCAATCAACTGCAAGATTACGCGTCTGGGGTCCCGTTCTTTTGGCGGGTAGTTGGCCAATTCCTGCAGTTCCATAGCCAGTTATGACACTTGGAGGGAAAGAAGGGACTAAAGGCAGGGATTAGCGGTAGGGAAGACTGGTAGCCAGCCATACTGTGCATGCACGCAATCCACCAAACAAACCCTGGAATGACGATTCCCTGTAAACTCCCAACTCGTACTTCGTTTCTTTCCAACATGTAACAACCTGAGCCAAACGTTTGATTCGGTTGTCTGCCAACTCATTTTTGATCGATATTTTGTCTCGCCCAGAATGATTCTGTGATTCATGCGCCTCTTGTGTAGCTTTGTGTCCTATCCCCCACGAAACCCCTCCGCCCCCAAGTGTGAATATGTATTGTTGTGGTTCTTGAGAAAGAGGGGCCAAACTGAAGGAGGCGCCAATCGAACCCATTCCTACTGTATGGCTTCCCATTTTAGTGGTTGCCTCCGCCATAGAAAGGTGTTCCCCCTTTTTGGTGGTTTCCTTTTCCTTGAGACCAAGCCGTGTGCCCAAGTCCTCACTTTCAGAGTTCCCGGACTTTACATTTTGGGGACCATTTGCGCGGTAAATAATTTTGTTTTCAGCCACTCGGGAAGTGAGAGTCTGACAAGGTTCCTATGGCTGGCCTTGACCTCGCTGCCACGTTGCTCTCGGTGCTCAGCGCTTTGCACGTGGAGCTGCTTTGCCTTTGCCTCTCAGCTGGTTTGGCCATCCTAAGTCTTCAAGTCTTCAAATGCGCCAGGATCCCAGTTGGCGTTGAGGTAAGTGCTGAAATGCATCGACCTAAAGTTCTGTGGTCTGCACCTGAATGGCAGACATGCTCCGGGCCTTAACATCAAACCGCAAGGCAACATTGGCTTGATTTTCTTCGGTGTGGCTTTATTGTTTTGAGGATATGAATTTGGGGTTGTTTTAGAGGCACACAGCAATCCGGGGTTCCCCTATGATAATACGTCATTTGGTTGCCTTCACCCAACTTTGTACCTTGTAGGAGAAGGATCACCATGATGTTTGTTACGGTTTTGGCTACAAATGATGACTGATACCTTCCCACCTGCAAATTCTTTATGTGAGCCCAGTTTACCGTGCCGCGCGAGCCCCAAACCAACTATTGGGGGCTACAAGCAAAACGGCTCTAACACAAAAACATCCACAAAATAAGCAGACCAAGTAGCACCCCTGGTCGATTGATAAGGGGGGTTGTCCCCTTCTAGTGGGAGTCCTGTACTTTTGGATTTGTTGGATGGTTTCTTTTGGTTTCCTGGTGGTTCGTTGTTTCCTTTCGGTGTGAACCTTAGAGGGCTACCGTTCGGAACGAATGGAATCGGGTATAAACATTAAGGGACCCCCCACCCCAGGAAGGCTCTACGAATTACTGTGGATGGTTACACGAAATCCGCTTCTCGCACTACAAAATAACATGAATCCATGAGAGAAACCATAACGTTGGTATTTACAGGAGAACCGAATCATTCCAGGGTTCTTCAAGTGGTGCACATAGGAATAGGTGTCCTTTTTGGTTGTTTTGGTAGAAACATAGATGGCCCTGGCTTACCTGGTAGTTTAATCATCTACCAGGGCCGTCGATTTCCCCTAAAATGACACCTGTGGTGGTGCATAATTTCGTCCATCCACAGTGCGGGGGTCAGGTTTTTTCTCACGAATCCTCCGAGGTTTCGTGGCGTTCTTTTACCTCGCCGGCCGCCTTATGGCCGCCAAACTGCCTGGCACCCACGTGGCTGCGAGACGCCAGGCGGGCGTTTGGTTTTTGGGAAGTCACCTGTCCCTCCAAGGCAAACATTCAAACATGCGACTTCCTTTGGGAGTTGTGGCGCTTTCGTCACTTTTTTTCGGTTTGGACCATAGTGGCAAACAAACAGGGTGCTTTCTTTGTGCTATTCCACTTAATGTTGACCCCAGATTAATCAACCAACCAGTTTATGAATGTGGGGGTGAGGGCCCCTGCAAAAGTGATGAGCAGGGGTTTATTCATCCGGGGTCAACATGACTTCCTTTGGGAGTTTTGGGGCTCTGGGTGTTGGGGTTCTCTCCTTTTGAAACCCAACAAAAGGCTGGAGGATGTTCTGCGCGATTCGGAGGTAATCCCGCTGCAGCCTCCCGGAGAGCAATGGCGGTGAGGCTGATTCCACGGATTCCCTCGGGAATCTCCGCGAGATTCCGAGCGAGCGGCTGCGCGACAAAAGATGCGAACCCGGGGCGTTTGACTGAGAGAGAATACCCCAGTCCTCCAAACCTCCAGTGGGGCAGGTGGTGTGTTTCTTTGATCCAGGCGGCACGTGGGCGAATGATATTCTGCGAACATGGCTGTGGCTAAACAAGAACAATACCCAGCATGTCCACAAGTAAGACATAGAAACACCGAGACCTGCGTAATTCCAGCTATCTAAGTGTGAGCTAAACCCATATGTCTGTGGCCGCTTTTTCCGGGGTCGCTGAACATCAGAAAGCGCCCAAAAATTACAGATTGCTGCCAGGCGCGCTTCGCGCGAGTCTTCTACTGCCCAGGAAACCACGAGCCACCTGACTGCAAGGCCTTCCCAGCGGTGGTCGGATCTAAGCCGCCTGAAGTATCTCACTTCATGGCGTTCCTGGTTGTTAAGCTTTTTGGGTGCGCCGCTTTAGTGGTACACAGCAAGTTTGGTTTCCTTGTCTGACCATTCACTCGATCGGAAGGGCCGGGTGCTCCAGGGTTTCCCTGGAAAATTAACTTCAACAAAGGGGGTTGCAATATACATCTGAAATTAAACAAAGGCGAGAGTGTACACAACATTGCTCTGGCAAATGTTCAATACCTTCAGGGAGTCTGAAAAGCATCCGCCAAAAGGGGTCCTTCCAGGGGGAATGACCATTCCACAATGTCTGGGGCAGCCCTTGCACAGGAACATATCCCAGCAACAAGGGGGATCCTTTTGGTTTCTGTTTAAGCTGATCTGATAAGGGTTCCCTCCAAAAGAAAAAACACACACACACAAGCGCGCGCACTCCTGTCCCGAGGCTGTGGGGAGATGCGCAGCAGGAGCGAGAACCGTGTCGGATCTGCCACATGCCTCCAGGGCGGCGTCGGGTGGTTTGAAGGAACTTTCAGGTTTTGCAAAGCAGGAATCTTCCGTTTGCTGAAGGATATTGTTTATTATCCCCTGGTGGCTTAGGGCATCCATCACTATTGGACAACATGTTTTTTTCTTCCAGGGGACGAAAAAGCAAATGCCGGGCATTGGTCCCCTAAACGGCGGGTTTCCGCTTGGTCTTCCATACCAACCCTCTTGCAGGGTGCCTTCGGAAGTTTGTCTCTCAGTCCAGTCCAGGTAAAACAACGCTCGCACCACCTTATTCCGAAAGTGCATGTTCCTTCAAGCACTGAGAGTGTAATTCACACCTTTGATTACTATACAGTTGGGTGAACAACTGGTGGACCCCCCAGTGGGATGAATCGAAGAAATCAACTACCCTCAAGCCACTATCCCGAGGAAAAAGGTGCACACAACTCTCTCTCTCTCTCTCTATATATATATATATATACGCCTATTTCTATACGCAGCCTTTACACACTGGCAATTTTCTTTGCATACCCAATGATATCCTTTGCGCGTTTCCACACATCTCTTTTTTAAAATCGAGGTCCATAAGGCAAGCCAAGCTCCACTGGGAGGGCTTACCCCCCTATTATCTTTCAATTTCTCAATGTCCGAACCTCTCGGCCTAGCGCCCACCCCCCTCCCCCCTCCTCCCCTCCTCCCCTCCTCCCCTCCTCCCCTCCTCCCCTCCTCCCCTCCTCCCCTCCTCCCCTCCCTCCCCCTCCTCCCCCTCCTCCCCTCCTCCTCCTCCCCTCCTCCCCTCCTCCTCCTCCCTCCCTCCTCCCCTCCTCCCCTCCTCCCCTCCTCCCCCTCCTCCCCCTCCTCCCCTCCTCCCCTCCTCCCTCCTCCCCTCCTCCTCCTCCTCCTCCTCCCCTCCTCCCATCCTCCCATCCTCCCCTCCTCCCCCCCCGACACCGACTCGCAGGACTCCATGCGCCGCCTCCATGAGATCCTGGACCTCTGCCAACACCTGGGAGTCGAGACCCAGCCCGCTGAGGCGCAGCCGTTTCCGTTTGCCCATAACTGTCCTTTTTTGCCATTGTTTTGGTCGAAAAATAGAGGGCGATTCCTGGTTTACCTCAGGGAAATCCATCTATTTCCCCTGAAAGGACTGCGTTTGCCCGCACGGCAAACAGGATGGAGTACTTCCTCGTGCGGCGATCGGATTGTTTCGTGGCCCACGTGGACTCGTGTGGCCAATGTGATACAAAGGCAAACCTTGGGAAAGTTGCAAGGTCGGCCGGGTGGGGGGATTGCCCACATTGGCATCACAGAAAGCTGGCGATTTAGGCACAGTGGCCGGGGTTCTGCCATGTGGTCAGCAATGGAGTTAGGCACCCTCAGACCAGAGCAAGTGTTACATGTTTGTTTGGTGTTTTGCTCAAGTCTCAACTTTCATGACTGGATGTCCGAACTATACACTAGCCATATGACTTGCCTGGTGCATAAGGGGGGAGGTAGCCCAATGGACATGGGGGAGGGCACATCTTCGGAAAGAGTAAGCCGCCCAACGCAATTAATGGAAAGCTCAAAGGATACATCACGTTTTTGATTGTTTTTCTCCAAGGGGGCGAAAAAGCAAATGGAAGAATGCTACCCGCAACATGGGTTTGCCTCGCATGCAAATCCCTAGACTTTAAGCCACCTCAGCGCCTTCATGAGCTTTTGTGTGACGCTGATACTCAGGTGGCGGCGGGTGATCGGCGCGTGCTCGTGGTGCCCATCTTGGTACCTTCCTCGGTTGCTCGCTTCGTGGACAACTCGGTAGGGGGAGAAATGAGAGCCCTTGCAAACCTCAAGGTTGAAGGGAATCCTCAGCTTGATTGGGTGACCTTTCGCAGCTACACCTTTCACTCCAACATACCCATAGGACCTTCGGGTTTCTCGGAGTTGGGGATCCCTTTTCAACAATCCCAAGCACGCTTTTTCTGCCTCCATGCTACTTCTGAGGGTGCCTGCCCACACACGGTCTCACTCCCTGAGTTCCTGGCCTTTGAGAGCTTTTTTTGGGATGAGCATTTTCCTGGCAGGCCAAAAGTTTGGACCGACTTTTTTCTGGCCAATCTGCTCACGGGAAGCGAGGGAGCTCTGTGCATTCTTGCACTCTGAGTCCTGGCACCACCCGCAGTGGGACACCGAGCCAGAGATCGAAGGCCCGGCCGACATTGTGACCGGTGAGCCGGGCAACTTGCGGAGAAAGAGCTGACTGGTTGAAGGTAAATACACCCAAAGCGCGGTGGCTTCCCCACAGATTGTATAATATTGGAAGTGAACCAATGACATCCAACCATAGAGCAACATAAAACCCAGGTATGTGTTTGATTGCAGTAAGCTACACGCTCCCAACCTGTTTTCCAAATACGTCCTGGAGCGGCCGTCGTTACCTAAATTTCTGCCCTGATCCCAAACGTAGCGCAAAACCAAAGATCGTCACCAAGAATATAGTTGTTCGGTTCTCCAAGATGATCGATTGCTGAATGGATCACAAAAATCGAAGTGCAAAATGTGCGCAACAAATACACACAACGGGCGCACCTATCCGCAAACAAGCGCAAACTTAAGAAACGTGGCAATTGCTCGCCTTCCTCCGAACAGATTGGACAACAAAACACTGGAATGGGTGCTCCAGGTTGCGTAGAGCATCCACTGCGGCTTGCTTGCAGAGTTGGCAAACTTTAACTCAGCACAGGGGTTGGCACCACCAAGCACCAAAGGGCAACGTGATACCTCGCGCAGACCCGCCGCATACCCACACACACACACACACCCACACACACACGCGTGCGCCCACACGCCCGCCCGCCAACCCGCAGGTACGCAGGGCACCCGTGCACGCGCATGCACAAGCCCGCCCGCCAACCCGCCCGCGCTCTGCAGTGTATGCACGCCTGCACGCCCTTTGTGCGCGCACGCGCGCACACCCGCACACACGAACACGGAAACACACACACGCACATGCGCACACAGCAAATCTACAAGAACGTGAGGAAAATAGGCCAGACACCAACCAAACACAACCAAACGCTTCGGATTCGATGAACTTTCTGTAGGCGTTCATGCTGGCAACTCAGAACTTGGTTCCCAGCCATGCCCTTGGACTTCTTGCTGGTTTTCAGACATCAGAGAGATACCCCGATATGGCTGTGGGTCCAAACCGATGGTACCATTTTGGGGTAGGAGCCCCACCCATTTTAGAACCTATAGTAGGGATTGGGATGTTCACTGGGGGTACGATTTGGATTTTGACCCATGGCCTTTTTTTGTATAGCTTTTAGCTTAAGGGATCCACGCAGGCTCCATGCCCCAAGCCACCAACTGCTTGCACACACCAGGCTGGCGGGGGCTCATTCCGGTGGACAAGATGCTCAGCGGGAGCCCCGGCCTCCAAAAAGCCAAATTCCACCCCTTGGATTCAGGGTTGTTTTGACATTCGAACACCACCTGGTCCAGTTTTTCAGATGCGTGTCCTTTTAGTGGGCTGGTGTTTAAAGGGGATTCTAGGGATGAGCTCTCCAATTCCTATGTCCCCATTTGTTCTTGGGGAAACAAGTCAAGTTTGAGCGTGGCTCCAACACTTTGTCTTCAGCGGTCTTTGGCTCGCTTGAGGTGACTACTTGCTCACCCACTGGCCGCCTGGGATTGCCATCCAGGCGTCGAGCCAAATGAAAAAAAGCAGCTGCCACCACCCCTGAAGCACACCTGAACCACAATCAATACTCGGAAGGTTAGCAAGGGGCAGTCCCAGCCAGAAATAGGCGCGGCTGCCTTTCAATTTTGCAAATGTGAATTCGGCAAGAACCTTTTCATTTAGTGCCAGGTGTCGCTTGTGACTCACCTCTAGTTTTGTTGCTATTTTTGCAGGGAGTGCTTTGACTGGGGGGGAGGGGGGTGTTTTGGTGTTTTCATGGTTGTTGTTGGGAAACAATTTACTTGTTTGTTTATTGTGGTTTAGTGGTTGAAATCCAAATCCACTTAACTGCTAAAATTTAAATGTTTGCTCCCCTTCCAACGTCAACCAAGTTTTGGGGGTGCAGATCCATGCGCCAGGATGGCACTGCGGCGAAAGCTGTGGCCACGGCCCCAGGCTTTTGGCTGTTGCTTCGTTTTCGGTTGAGGCCAGGGTGGCACATGAGACCAGCTCGGGTCGCCCCAATATGTTTTTTGTTTTTGGTTGTTGTTGGGTGTGTGTGTGTGTGGTGTGTGGTGTGTGGTGTGTGGTGTGTGGTGTGTGGTGTGTGGTGTGTGGTGTGTGGTGTGTGGTGTGTGGTGTGTGGTGTGTGGTGTGTGGTGTGTGGTGTGTGGTGTGTGGTGTGTGGTGTGTGGTGTGTGGTGTGTGGTGTGTGGTGTGTGGTGTGTGGTGTGTGGTGTGTGGTGTGTGGTGTGTGGTGTGTGGTGTGTGGTGTGTGGTGTGTGGTGTGTGGTGTGTGGTGTGTGGTGTGTGGTGTGTGGTGTGTGGTGTGGTGTGTGGTGTGTGGTGTGTGGTGTGTGGTGTGTGGTGTGTGGTGTGTGGTGTGTGGTGTGTGGTGTGTGGTGTGTGGTGTGTGGTGTGTGGTGTGTGGTGTGTGGTGTGTGGTGTGTGGTGTGTGGTGTGTGGTGTGGTGTGTGGTGTGTGGTGTGTGTGTGTGTGTGTGTGTGTGTGTGTGTGTGTGTGTGTGTGTGTGTGTGTCTTTTTGGTATGTGGCGTTTGCTGCATGTTGCCAGCATCTACTCAGACCGTCTAACCTGTTGGTTTCCCCTTTTTGGTCCATAGTCAAGTCCTTTGGGAAACTTGGTCTAAACCTGCCATGAGGCTCGTGGCCTTGTTGACCAGTCGATACCTTTCAAGGACATGTCCAGGTATGGTTTTTGACGGTATGGACGCTTATTACCATACCTTGGAACACAGTACGCTACCCCGTAAGGGTATATAGCCTCCATAGCTCCAAAACCTTGTACCTGGAAGTTCCCCTTTGAGGATAATGGGCCCGATCCCCGGAGTTCTCCAAGCTCAGAACACAAAATTTGGAGTGCAAGAAGGAAGCTTCTCTCCAACTCACCCCCTTCACCCTTTGCAGGTAATAACCCCCTCCTTTTCACCTCCTTTTTTCCTTCATGCAGGTAATAACATCACCTTCACCCTTTGAATTGGAGAGTGAGGCTTTGGATCCCAGCAGAATTGGTATGGAGCCCAATTTGTCTACATGCACAGACCCAGGATCCTGGTCTCACTTCTTGAGTTCTGTTTCGGACTTTATACCGTACTGGTTGGGACGACCGTTTTAGTGGTACCCAAAGGCTCCCGATTGATTTAGGGTCTTCAAACAAGCCAGGAGCCTCTGGGCAAAAAAAAACTCAGGTGATTTCCCCAACAGCATGTGCTCTTTTTAGTGCTCGAAATCCAGTTGGGGAAAAAGTTTGCCATCTCGGGAAGTGAGTCCCTCATGGAGGACCTGGTGAACGATGAGCTCACCGACTGGCCGCGCCTCTTGCAGCGGCGCCCAGGCTTCCAGGAGGTGCGCGCGACGGAGCGGCTCGGAGCGGGGCAGGGGTGTGTGCTATAGGGGGACCCCCCGAGCTGTGGCATGCAAAGGTTTCAGGACGCTGAGGGTTGAAGTTTTGTTTTGGTCCCATGCCCGAAATAAAGTTGGAAGTGAAAAGAAAGAGCAGGAACATTCTGGGCAAATCGCAATAGATCCACATCAAAGATATTAATGTGACTAAGCCGCACCCTATGAAAGGATCCGAATTGATCAATTGATCACGTCGCGACCCCACATTGTCACGTCCTTCCATTTTGTTGCTTGTAGATCCTTGCCGGCGAATCTGCAAGTGGAAAAGGAGCAGCCTGTGATTTACTCCAGTTGACCAGGGTTGTTTGGTGTCGCGTTTTCTGGAATACCCAAGTCGGGGGTTGTCTCTTAGACCGGAAGTTGAAAATCTGGATGTCCCCCAAAGGAATCGGAGTCGGCAGTGCCTCTCTGAATCGAAGGAGGTCCTTCGAAAGCCGGGAAGCCCCATTCAGACAGGGGGCTTCTAGAAAAACCCGCTGACCATTGACCGGAAGTGCGTCAACACCAGGGTGGTTGCTTTCCTTTGCGTGGCCTGTAGATTTTGGAGTGTAGATATTAGTTCGCCGAAAGCCCGGTGTTTGGTATCCAAATGCTTTCAGGAAGGGGAGCCTTTTTGTTGGGCGATCCTCATTTGCAATGGGGTACAGGTTGGGATCATTGTGCAGATCTGCAGTGCCGCCTAGAAGCTTGGAATTGCTTTTTGTTTTTTATTAATCACTACCAGATTTGGTTTCCAGACTTAAACACATGGACAAGCTTTGAAAGGCTTTGCTTGGTGAAGGAGTCGTGTTCAACTGTACTGTGTTTGTTGTGTCCCTTTAGCTTAACCAAAGGCATGTTTGGGTCTGTTTTTAAGGGCCTCCCCCCAAAAAACAAAGTGGTTTTCCTTTTAGTTTTTCCTTTGAAACCACCAAAAAGGGGTACCCTCCCACCGACCAACATGGGTTTGTGCACAGATTTTCTGTAGAAAGACTACTTGTCCTCTTGGAAAGGGGCTTCTTGTTAGCTTCCATGTTAGTTGGTGGGAGAATACTCCCCGAAAGATGGTTTTCCTTGTTTCGTCCCTTTAAAACCCCAAAAAAACACGAAACACCTCCAAAAAAGACAGAAAACCATGTCTGCCTGCGCGACGCAGAGCTTTGGCTGGAGCAGGGCTCCTTAAAAGATACATGTTGCAACCATTTGAAACATGTTGCTTTTTCAACACCAACAATGTTCCGGTGGTTTTCATGCATCCGGATCCCTGAGGTGATCTCCTTCTCGCACTTCTTGGCGCGGGTGGAGACCAACCCGGAGAAGCGGTATCTCAACTACCCCAACCTCGCAGGGCAGCCCAGCAAGACTCTTCTTGGATCAAGCTGTTTTCGTGCTTGTGGTGTTGTTTTTTGTTTTCTCTCCGTGTTTTTTTTTTTGGGGGGGGGGAGGGTTCTGTTCATTTTTAGTTGGCTGCCAAAAACAGACAGTTTTTGATTGGCAAGCCCATCGCAAAGGTTGTGAAGCCTTGGGTTCGGGACGTGCTATGAGCCTATGAGCTGCTCAGTAGGCGAAGCGACCTTTAGACAAGGCCGCGGGCTACACACGGATTTATCAGATTTATAGCCATGATTGGATGTGGCGAGTCGCGACAAACACACTCGAATTGAAAAAGAGTGGAGACCCCACTCAAGGAATCTTCATCACGGGGTCTGTTCTAAACTCTGGGTGGTGAGGAAGCTAATTGAATTCGCTCACGCGCGGGCCTTTTAAAACTTTAGCCTTGAAACTTTGCTTTCAATTGGCCAGCATGGAGATGTTGAAAACCTGAAGGGCAAATTTGAGGGGGGCGGATTTTCTCCTTGGCAACCATGAAGCTGGCCCAAAGCGGGATGGTGGGCAGGTTTGGCAGGTTGCGGACTCTTTGTTTCTCTCAGGGCTAGGGCGGATCCCCAAACCTATCCAAACCAAGGGTCTGATGTTATCTGAGCTCAAGCTTGGTTGTGGAAAAACCAGGGGCAATGGGAGGCGGGTTGAATCCCACGTGCTAATTATGGTCAAAGCTCCAACGCACGCGCCAGCAACGTCCAACACGCATTGGCTGCTTAAGCAATAACACCTTCCATTTGCCGAAGCCCCATGGAATAAACAATGCACAGTTGTGATAGATTCCTTCTAGAACCAACAGGGGGAAATTAAAACCTATTCTTAAGCAAATGGAAGTAAGCAATAAAACCATGGCTGCAAATCTGATAACTGCTTCCATTTGCTCAAGCCCCCTGGACAAAACATATGTCCAGTAGTGATAGGTTCCCTTTAAAACCCATAAAGGGAAGACACAACATATTCCTTTCAGCAAATGGAAGAATCCAGAATTACCCTGATACGTGGCTGTGGCTTAAAAGAAGTGGTACCAAAAATGGCACCCTGGCAAATGGAAGCAAAGACTAAAACCCGCGTAACCCCAGCTCTTCAATTTGAGCCATACCCACATGGTAAAATTTCAAAAGCGGTATAGGGGATATGGGGTCTGGGCATCTCCCAACAAGTCCAATGCGGATGGGCGCCCTTCGCTTGGCGAAAAAGCTCCCCGAAGCTTCGCGGTCAGGCTCCGGGCCAACCTGCATAAGCGATGGGGGGGGGGGGCAGTTTCCAAAGGCCATCAGAATGGTCGGCATTTGGACTGTCAAAATGGGGGGGGAACCCAACAGTTGTGGCTCTGCTGTTGCCTAGATAGTTGCGATCGCCTTTTTCAGTCACTGCTGGGTTTTTGGGGTAAAGTGCATGGGAAAAAGCGATCGCAACTGGCGATCCGATCGCCAGGCGGACTTCCGTTTGGGATTTTAGCCACTTTTAGGATTTGCGCTATTTGGGAAAAGAAACGTGTTTCAGACTTGTTCGGCCACTCCACTGAGGAAGTGCTATACACACATTGAAGCTGCTGGTGACCCAACCCTTGACCAGCTTTCGGTTGGACCGCCTCGGTCGGAGGCCAAGGGAGTTGGCTCGGAGTACCTCCGACGCCGCGTGGAGTCCCTGCGGCCGGACCTTCATGTCCGATGGCCGAGACAAGACCCACCTGGCCACGGATGGAAAGTGACCGGGCGACCAGCACGGAAATAGGGTGGCTTTTTATGTTTGGTTTCCAGTTTTATTTGAAAGGGGGGTGCACATGAGGTGGGGGTGAGGGGTATGTTTTTTGTAGGGACGCCTCCAAAATGGTGGTTTTCCTTTTTGGACTCCCTTTGACACCAAGCGAAAAGGGGGTACCCTCAACAAAGACAGACCTAGTATCTTGTTCCGCCAGGGGTTTCCTCCCATTCTTGACCGCTATTGGGTTGGATCTTTAGACTTTAACTTTTTGTGGAAATAGAGGGTGTTTTCCACTAAACCCCCCAAACGTGATCCATTTTTTGCAGGGGGTCGTTGCAGCAACCTAGCATTTTGGTGGAGAAGTAAATGGACAATGGCCAACGTGATCTCAATGGTTGGCCTTCACATCCCCGATCCTTGGCTTCGTTTTCTCCATATCAAGAGGATGGACACTGTCCCCAGCTAGGTGCCAACTTTTGCCGTTTCCTTTTTGGTTGGGAGGGCAAGCCCCTACTAAAATAGACTACAGTAAAAAAGAAACGGTGCCCTTATTCTAACCTCTCTGGAGGACCTAGCTGTGTCACCGAGGTAAATAGAATCATGTCCAGTTCGGGAGAACGAAGAGAAAGCCAAACACCCCCGAAATGGCCAGGGTTGTGGGCATAGGTGTCCTTTTTGGTTGTTTTAGTAGAAAAATCGATGGCCCTGGTTTACCTGTTGGTTTAATCATGCACCAGGGCCGTCTATTTCCCCTAAAAGGACACCTATGGTTGTGGGAGCCAAAGGCCTTCAAGGGATGTTGCTAGCAGTTGGTTGGTTTGCCGTTTCTTCCTTGCAGAGACCCAGTCTGAATCATGAGGTGATTGCAGATTGGGAAGCGGGCCATAGATACTTGCTGGGTGTGGGATTCTTGCTAGGTCTTTATAGGTGGCAAAGCCAGAAGAGTAGAACATGGGTGTTGCCGGAGTTTCCTCCAAAACTACTTCATATCAAGAGATGAAGTAGAACCAAACAAACACGATTTGCTGTGTACTGCCGAAATGCCCAGATTGTTTCCTCAAGGTTTTCTTTCCCAGCCGGTTCTGTTTCCTTTTTTTGATGCACCTCTGGCCGACTTGCCATGTCCGGAAGGAAGCTCTGGGTTAACGGTTATGGAACTCATCGCGGTGCACTTTTTGTTTGCCCCTTTGTGGAAGTACCCTCCCGTCCACTAACATGGAACCTGACTCAGGGGTCCTGGAAGATGTTTTTTCCTTTAAAAGGGACCCTGTGGTGGGTTCCATGTTAGTGGACAGGAGGGCAACAAGTAGCACCACCAATCGACTGTTTTTGGCAGCATGGGGTTTGGACATACTGTGGATGGACGAAATCCTCGACCACCTAAGAAACCCTGGAATGATGATTCCCCTGTACATACCAGCAAACAATGGTTTCCTATTGTTCCCAGTGGTTCTGACCAATCCACTGAGGTCTTTGGCCACACGCACTTCGGCTATGACCTGGAGGCGTTTGGAATAATGTAGCAAGCTACATGGGTGCAATGCCGGCTCAAAAGGTAGCGATGTAAACACCCCCCCTCACCCCACCCCTCCACCTCAACACTAAAAGAACTACAACACACACACACACAGCCACCTCTTCGTAATGGAGCCAGCTTGGACACCTGTCGCGGGCTTCCAGGAAACCGATTGGAGAGTTGGAAGTCTGCTCCGCCCGCCCCAAAACAAGGATCCTTTTTTCTACGTCACGGGGCCGCTAGAAACCCCCACCAAATGGCCGTACACCCTCCCCCCAACGAATTGACAGTTGCATGTTGCTCTGGGGGGAGGGGGGGTGAAAAAACCCGGCAAAAGGTGAACCTCTACCACGCGGAGTTTCTTTGGGGCCGGTCTCCGGTTTGAACCAAAACCTAACTGGTGAATCTGTCAAGGCAACTGAGTTCTTTCCACAAGCCCATATCCTTCCCTCAGGAATTCCAGGGCGAATTGCTATTCCAAAACCGACATATCCGGAATCCCCTGGCGAGTCTTCACGGGGCGGAGAATCCCTCGCTTCACGCCGGCGAGGTCAAAAGAACACATTTCCGCAGATAGGTGGGCGTACCGCCCCAAGCCACGGTGGCCATCACACCCCAGCCAGTGCAACAAGGTAAAGAGCCAGGCCGGCGGCACCAACTTGGCAACTGCGCAACCAACTGCCACAAGACCACCCGAAAGGCCAAAAATAGCGCCATGGAATGCCAAAGAAGACCAGGGAAGGCCAAGAATGCCGTTGCTGTTGGGAATTCCAGGTGCCAAACCAAACATGAATAGTTCTCTCTCTGACGTCAGAATTTTTCGTTTGTACGACGTGTTGGCACCCGGAAGTGGCCAGGTGGAGGGCATTCGCTATGTCCAGGCCCCATTGGCCATGCAAAGGGCCCCAGAAACCGATCCATCGATCTCCAGCGTGCTGAGTCAATTCTTCAAAGCGAGTCGACCGTTTGAGTTTCTGGTTTCTTGGTGGCAAGCCCAGCCATGCGGTTCCTTAGCTTTTTGGCTTTTTTCTTTTTGGTGTGTGTGTGTGTTTAGTGGTAGTTTCCATTTAACCCACTAAAAGTTAAACTTTTAGCAGGGGATCCGAGGACAGCCCAGTTAACCTTCTGGTTTTCCCATGGTTTATTTTTCTGTTGCCCCCAAAGATTGCTACAAACTGGGCAAGTTTGAATGTATGTTTTGCACCACTTTGTGGGTTGGCCACTTGCCAAGAGAATCCCCATGAGCGTCATGGGGAATCAACTCCTTTGGTACCAGGCTGGATGTGAAGGGGTGTGTTGGCATGCTGCCCAAGTTAGGAATGGAAGACTCCTTCACCGCACATGGAGCACACTATTGGATAAGCAAATGGGTGTCTCAAGGGGAAAGGCTTCCAACGCAACAAAAGGTCCCAGAAAACTTCCCCAGAATTAGCTCCCCTTTTTGTTTTCTGCTTTTTTGGGGCCACTAACCAAGCCACAAATGTAGTTTTTTGCTGGGGTCCTAATTCCAGCCTAGAAAAAAGACACCCAAATTCCCTCCCACAGAAAAGGAAAGGGAGCCTACCACGAAGCTAAACCAATGCCACATGCAGTGAGCAACACCTTCCCTTTCACCAGACACAAAGGGTGTGCACCTGTGCCCCTTTTGGAACAAGAAGGCTAAGTGTGCACCGACCCAGAGGTATGTGCCTTTGATAGAAGCTAAGCAAAACCTGTACTCACTTCCTGAGTTCATGAACTTTAAACTTTTTGGGAAGACCATTTTAGTGGCAAATATAAAGTTTGGACTTTTTTTGGGCCATCCACTCAGCAGGTGAGTGTAGTTTTGGAGTCTTTTGGTAGGTGCAGCGTGGTTGTTTGTTGGGGTTCCCTTTTGAACAGTTTAAGTCTAGAACCATAAGAAACCATGCTGGGGTCGCCTGAATTTGACACACTCACTTCCTCAGCTCATGGACTGAAATGTCTCTTTTTTAGGTGGTTGTCCCAGTGGTAAACAACGGACACTTGAACGTGTTCTTCTGGCCAATTCACTGGCTTTGTTCCCGACATGGGGGGTTGTAAAACTAGGGGGCCCTTTTTGTTCGTTCGGCTTTCAAGAACTGAGCCCAAAAAGACACCACTTGCCTGGAGGTCTTCCCAATTTTCACCAACCACCCAAGTCGTTTTGCGGCTTGAAGGGCTCCGCCTCGAGGTCCCAGGAGCGCCATGCGCGCGGCACCACCGTGGTCCGACGCCCAGGGTCAATGGGATGCGCGCATGGCATCGCTCGTTGGGCTTGGGTGCGTGTGTTTGGGGTTCCCAACGCCCATCAAGAAAAAATCAAGAGGATCTAAGGCTCGACTCCTCAAACCAAGCCGATTCAACCAAGAAAGGTGGGGCTGATGTTTTGAGGCCTTGACCCGATATGAAAGGTCAGTTTGAGCATCAGACTTCTTGTGAAGGGACACCACAGGAAAGCCAAAAGGAGCTGGACCCCCCATATGTTGCGGATAGCAGCCAATTCCTAGCCCAAAAAACGCTCGGTACCAGACAACTGGATTTGGGTCAAGTGTTGCACTCATTTTAGCACCTTGTTACGTTTGTGGGGTCCACGAAACCCATCAAAATAGCCCCTAGATGGCGGGGTTTGAAGCAGTGGTTTCGAGACCTGTCATAAACCAGCCTATAGCTATAGACCTGTGACTTTACCTGCTGCGTTCTCAGCAGGGAATTCGAAAATGGAATGACCCAACCAACCATCCCTGGCTGGCGTCCCTTATTCGGGCACTGGGTTCATTCCATTTCACATTCCCTACCGACGGAAACCACCAGTTGGAATGAACATTTCACATTCCATTTCTCATTCCATGAACCCAGGCTTTGGTCCCCTTAAAGGAAGCCACCAGCTGGACGGTTATTTTTTTCTTGGGTCACTCCATGCCTCGTTCCCCGCATCGATCCGTAGCCCCCAAAGCCGCGGCGACTCCAAGACCCGAGGCCTTGGGCACCTTCCCCGAGGGCCTGCCGTTCTCGAACGCCTTCAAGGCGCGGAATCGGCGAATCGAATCCGAAGTGGGGAGACGGCGATGGACGAGCGAGGGCACGCCACGTGGACTTAAGATACATGTTTGGCCGCACCAGTGGCTCAAAGTGAAGCAAAGTCATAAGAGATATAGATTCTGCAGCTGGCTGGCCAATTTGGTGTTGGCCCTGTTTCTGCGCAGGACGTCAGGGGAATTCCTCTTCAAGCGATAAAGCAAGCATGTCAATAGCCAAGAATGGCAACGCAGCGGGAAACAGCAGACTCAAGGGTCCAAAGCGACTTCGACCTCCTGTTTGGTTTGTCCAATTGCGCCCCATCTTTCGTTCAGGTTGCAGAGGGTCACCAGGAACAGACCGCCCGAATCGAATGTGGACAGACTCGCAGAGGTTGAATCAAGGCTGGCACAGAGCCGTGGCCAACCCAATACTGCCATTTGCTTCCCAGAGGCTCCTGGGGCTTTCAATGAAAAGACCCGGCCCCTCCATTAGACAACCCCAGAGGTGGTTGGGGGTCTCAAAACCAGGTTGTTTGAAGGCCCTAAATCAATCGGGAGCCTCTGGGTTAAGAATATTTGTTATTTTCTCTTTTTGGTTTCAAACGGAAGGTCACTACCGGATTTGTTTCCCGGGGGCTTATGCAATGGAAGAATATGCACACCATGTGTTTCGCTCCGTAGGGAGGATGCCCCTTTGATGTTGCAAGTATACCAAACAGACTCAACCACAACAACTTGAGATAGTACCGCACAACTATAGGGTTCCTTAGTTCCCTTACTTGCAATGCTTAGGGCATCCAGCATAGCTGTGTTTTGAAGGTCAACTTGTGGAAGGAGGCAAGGCGGAAAGTATGGCAGTGCCAGATTGCAGGCTCCAAATCTCGGTGCGGTTGGCTGCTGCCAAGCTCGGCACTGCTATTCGCATAACCCAGGTCATAGCATCGCTTGCCGAGTAGGCAAACCTGGTCGGTCCTAACGTGCACCGAAACTTCGACAAAGGTTCCACAACCAACACCTAATCCGACCTGTTTGCGTCAAGAATCCATGAGTTTTCAGGCATGCCAGGTTTTCTCTTCCAAACAAAATGCCGGGTTTTCTTCTCCTTGCCGCGGTTTTCCCCCCAAATGGGTCTCTTCTTGAGTTCATGGACTTTTTGGGAAAACCATTTTGGGAGCCAAGAAGTTCCCAGACTTTTGGACAACCCACTCGGGAAGTGCGAACTGAAGGTCTGGGATTCCCGCAATGGCTGGGCGCCAAAGAGCCCGGCAGCCCAAGTCAAGCGGGTCCTTGGCCCTCGGTCCAGCGGGTCCCGTTGACTTTGCGCGATGCTTTGGTGGAGGGGTTGACCAAATGGGATACCTCCAAATGGGATACCTCCTATTCAACCGCTACTATAAAAAAAAAAAAAAAAACTAGAGAGGTGTTTTTGGATGTTTCTCAAGATATGGGTCCCTAAGATAGAGATACTTTTACCGTACGTTGGCTTCCCTTGGAGTACCATAAGAAACCGGGTTCCTTCAAGGATGCATAAACTAGCTGAAGGGGATCTTCCAGGTGCGGCATGTAGATGGCACCTCCACGGAGTTTGGGCCGGTGCAAAGGTCAACTTCCAGCTGCCTTTTGGAGGATCCCCTGAAGAAGCTGGTTGGATGATGTAGCCTTGAAGGAGCCTTGTTTTTGGATGTGTTTGTTGGACCCCGGGAATAGTAATGGTTGAATAGGAGGCATCCCATATTTTTTTAGGTGATCTGCACTTTTGGGGAAATTCGTCCACCAGGTTGATTCATCGGGGTCGGCATTGGGTCATGAACTTCCAGGGGTCACTGGATTTGTAGCCCTCATCCGCAAACAAAACTCAACCCAACCTGGCTTGGTGATGGGAGATCCCTTCTTGGTCATCCCATCGAATGCGGAGTCATTCGTCCCAGGTGCAGATTCCCTAAACCCTCCCAGTTGAGCTTCTCCTTCTTCGATTTTTTTTTGGGAGGGAGGGGAGGGGTTGGCCGAGTGAGAGGAGTCCGTAGCGTCCAATACTATGTACCGGAGATCTCCAGTTATTAGTAACTCATGCAAATCCAGACCCCCTTCCCCTAATAAATGTTGACCCCTATGAATCAACCCCAGTTTATTAATAGGAAAGTGGGGGCCGCTCCAAACGTGGTCTGAACCCCCACTAAAACCAACGACACCCCCCATGAAGAAACTGGGGTTGATTAACAGGGGGTCCACATTAGGGGGGATGTCCATATTATGGCTGTGGGTCAACACCAATGGTACCATTTTGGGGTAGGTGAATTCACCACCCATTTAAGGACCTATTCCAGTAGGGATTGGGATGTTCACTGGGGGTACGGGATTTTGACCCATGGCCACGCGTCTAACCAGCGTTACCCCGAGGCCAGGCCGCCTGGTCGGCCTATGTGGAGCGCTATGGCCGGCGCCCAGACGTAACGCTCGGGGCTCAAACTGACGGAATTTTGGGGTGATGGACGTGCCATATCGCACGCCCTGAGCGCATGAACCTGATTTGTTTTTTGGGTTTGGACCATTTTGGTGGTAATTATAAAGTTTTCTCGCACCACCGTCCAGAATCCCAAACGGAATGATTCGATTCCTTTGCAGTGCCATGGATTGGTGGTTAGTCGTTGAGAAGTGGTTTTCCATCTACCATCTACAAGAAGCAGGGCCTAAGGAACCCAACGGAATGATTTGATTCCCCCTGTAAATAGTGGCAAACCAGGGTTTCTACCATGGTTTCAAAGTGGTGCGACAGTGTTTTCGTCCATCCACACTATGGCGATTCCATAGATGGGAGAAAACGAGCGAGAACCCAGGTGCCTTTGAATTTCAATAGAGAACCACCTCAAAGTGGTTGATGGACATGAACGCCACCTAAATATTCCTAAACGACGTCCACCAAGGGGTCCCCCATGAAGATTCACTCCCATGGTTTTGAACGAAAAGCAACCTATTATTTGGGGATCCCTACTTGAGATGCCCCTGCATTTCCTCTCAGAGGGTAGTTTTAAGTTCTCCTTTTCGTGCCACTGTAAGTGAGTTCTCTTTTGGCGGAGTGAGGTTGGAGGACATCTCGGGCTTGGGAGCACTGTACTGATGGACAAACTCCGCTTCGCACCAGTTGCTGAATCATGTGAGTGGTTCGTTCATCCCAACTGCTGGCCATCCACGTGTCCTGGCCCCAAAATCAACAAAGGCGGCTGGTCGCTTTTACGTAACTGTTTCGAGGGTTTTCGGTTGAAATGTTCTAAAATCAACGACCAAAGGGAGCCGATTTTGTTTCCGTGAAAATCCACGGGGGTCTGGGATTTCCCCAGAAAACTGCGGTTTTCGGTAGGGAATGTTAGGTAAGTTGTTCCACTCACCTGGCGAGTTTGAATAGAGGCATGGATTTGTTTCACAAAAGGACCCTCTTTTTGGCTTTTCTTTGAAACCAGCCCAAAAAGAGTAGCCTCAAAAACGACACCCATATATCCTTAGAATCCATTTGAGGTGGCTGCTGCCATCTTACGTGCCGCACTCTGACCGATTCACCGGAAGGGCGGGGCATTGACTCAAGCACGAGTTTTTCGAGGAATCTCCTGTGGAGAAACGGGTTCCATTTGCTTGAGGATATTTGTTACTTTCCCTTCTTGGTTGTAAAGGGGAATCGATTTCACTTCTGGACACATCTGTGCTTCTTTCCAGCAAATTTACGTTCGACCATACTTTTTTGTGGCTTCCATGTGAATCTGCGGAGGAATTGGAAGCATTTGTCCTGCGTGCTTACGAAGGGGATATGGAGCACTCTGCATGTTTGAGTTTGATGCTTCAACTGGGATAGTCACTAGGCTTGGAATTCGACCTACTTGCCCCAGGCCGACCGCTGGACTCAACCTTCCCCCGGCTTAGGGTTTGTTTTGCCTTGCAGGGCAGTTATGGGAAGACCTCGTGCTGAGCTGCATTGTGTTGGCATTCCAAACAAATGACAAGGAGTTCATACCAGGGTTCCTCATTAAGAGAGAATTTGTTAGCTTCCTTAGGCTCTCAAACCGAAAGGGGTGGATAGTGCTTGATTTTTGTAGACCCCGGATTTAAGCAGAACCTCTCGGAAACAGCGTTTCTCCCAAATGACCCTCCGTGGATGGACGAAATCCTGCACCACTTGGAAACCATGGGAAACCATTGTTTGCTGGTATGTACAGGGAAATCGAATCATTCCGTTGGGTTTCTTGGGTGGTGCAGGATTTTGTCCAACCACCGCAGGACATTCTCTTGTTGATCAACCAGACGTTTGTTCCTGCACATGGCTTGTGGCGCCATGGAATCCCAGCGCCCCAATCGCGCCTTGGGTTTTGTCCCAGCGGCTTTTGTCGGATTCCTTGGGTGATTCCGGCATTGGGCCAGACCGGCTGGGTGCAACTTGTCCAAAGAAACAAGCAGTGAGCAACTGATCCGGGCTTTCAGACAAACCTCAGGTTCAGAAGAAGGCTTCAGGAATGGGTGTCCTTTGAGGGTGCCCGGTTTGGGATTGGTTTTGAAAGGAGGCCAAGAGGATCCCAGCCATTGGTTCCATAGTTTTGAGAAGCATCCGAAGCTGGCTTCCGAAGGGATGCCTAGATTCATTCCCAAAACCCCCAGTTGATTCCTGATTGACCACGTGAGACTCACTGTGGCCCGCCGGGCGATCCTTTCAGGTGGCAGACTGCGGCTTGGAGCCGGAACCATCACCAGGCAAGCGACGCTAAACGGGAAGGGGCCGCCTAAACGGCGAAAGAGCGCCCTTAGCCCAAGGGGAAGCCACCTGACCATGAAAAAACACCTGCACCCTCCAAAAGTTGTCCATTTGTCCTCATGTGCCCTTGTTTGAGCTATGACATTTGGGTACCAATTGAGAACTGGAGGCTGCTGGAAAACAAAGCGCCACGCAACACCCCCCCGACTCATTTCCGGGTGCCTTCCCAGTGCCCTCGGGAATCCATTTTGCGAGTCTAAAAAACCCAAGACTATAAGCGAAGGGACTCTAGCAGGAAACTTGTGTTCGGTTTTTGTCAGAGTTCCGGTAGAAACATATGTTTGTGAACAACAAGCAAAAGCAAAAGGTTGTGCAGTGATGGCTCTAGCATCTCTATTTTTGAAGTTGAAGTCCTTTCTGGTTCGACTTATGAGTTTGGCATTGGGCTCAAACGCAACGGAACTGATTGCTTGCCTTGCCGGGGATGAGTTCCACTTTTCACGCTGCCGGTCGTTGGCCTGCAACTTGGGTTGGCGAGCTTGATAAGATGAAGCCTGGTCCAGCAGCCAAACACAGATGCAACTGCATATGATGAACATTTCTGCAGTCGAATTTGCATTTTCCCAGTTGCATGGTGCGCATTTGTTGAATTTACTTGTTGCTTTCAGGGATCCTTCATGTCAGGAAGTGCCCATCGGGTCTGAACTTTCTCGCCAACCCAATGTACAGGTCAGACAAGGCAACGGCGAACACGTCAATCGCAATTCTTCGCTTTGTCGCGAGATGCCTGGAATTAATAAACCCTAGTTTATTCATAGGGGGGGTGTTTCTGGTTTCGGTGGGGAATCAGACCACTTTTGGAGGGGCCCCCCCACACCCCTATGAATAAACCGGTTGGTTGAAATCACATGAGGTCAACGTCATGGTTTGTTTGGCGGTTTCCTTCAACAAACCTAGGTCCCCAAGTAGTGCCCTTTTGACCTTCTTGGCCGAGGCTTCCCCTACAAAAATCGACTACAGAAAGAAACGGTACCCCTATTCCAACCTCTCTACTCGAGGACCTAGACACATGTCACAGAAAAGAGAGAAAAACAAACAAGCCACCGCGGCGAAGCTGACTGGCCAGGCCTGACGGGCAAGATGCCCAAGGTGGGATGGCTGCCTGGCAGGACGTTGCTGAAGATCCGCGCCCGTGTTGTTGTTGTTTTTGGCTGGTTTCCAGGAAAAAATCCTCCATTTTAGTGGAAAAGTCAGAAGGACCCATCCATCAGGGCGTTTGGATGGGACACCATGCAATTGTGTTGGGGCTTTGTAGGGAAATGATAGGGGCTTATCAACCTTATTCGGGTTTCCGTAATGAATGGCTGTCTAGGGCGTCCCAACAACATGTCGAGTGGTGACCTGTGAGGCATCTTGCTGCTCCGAGCTCGCCTTTCAGTTCGAAGGGATCGGGGAAACGATGATCCACTATAAACAGACACGGACGACCCAGCACACGTCAGACGAATCCTATTGTTTGGGATTGTTTTGTTGCTCTTGTTCCCTCTTAAAATCAGGTGCTCCTGAATTCATCCTCTCTGCAAAGCGGAGTTCCCCCGTTCCCTTCGTTGCACTGGCGGAATTCAAGGTTATAAGCAGGCTAAACCTCGATGGGATTCACTGCTTCAGGAGTCCCGTGTGGTTCTTCGGGCCGAAGAAGCAGCGAGTGGTGGAGGCACGGCTGTGAAGCCGTTCGTCTCCATGTTTAGCTGTTGCTCATTTGTTCAAAGCGAATCGACCTTTTTGACCTTTTGGTTTTCCCATTTTGGTCCATTTTTAGTCATGGCCCCAAAAGGTTAACCTTTTAGTTCCAGGTCCTTTGGGCAACTGAGTTTGGCATTCCCAACTGGAAGAGGACAGACTTCCCCAATAAAAACTTAGTCAAAAACCCTTGGGCTCCGTGATTGGAGGGAGGGTAACCCACTTTGGAGAGCGGCACCCTTTATGTTTTTTCTTGGGGGGCATGGGCTTTCAAAATCAAGGCGACCAAAAGGGGCTGCTTACTGCCATTTCCACCTGTAGGAATCCTTTGTCCCCACGTCCTCAAATAGATTCATGGCTCTATTACCAGCGCCCTTCAACCACTGCTTGTTTGGCAAGACTTGGGATTCTGGACATGGTGAAAAGTAGTTGTGGGTCCCGGACGCCCCGCCCCCTTTGTCAGACGTGAGCGACAGCCCTCCATTTGTTGGGGGGGGACCTCTATCCGCCAAGCTTAGAAACTGGGTCAACATTGTGGCCAATGTGTGAAGGTCCCACCCTCAAGAGTTGCAGTATTTCCATTCGGTGTTCCATTTGCTTAAGAATAGGTTTTCCCCTGTTGTTTTGTTCCAGAGGACTTAAGCAAATGGAGCTAGATGGCGCACTTCCAACTCATTCTGGGAAAAGACATCCCTAAACTTGCCCAAGGCGGCTACCCGGCGGGGCAATTTCCGCAGGCAGCTGCGGAGTCGCGGAAAGTGTCGGACCGGCTGGCCAAAGAAGCCGCGCCTCGCTACAGAATTCGGGGGGGTGGAGGGGGGGGGGCGGGGGGAACATGTCATCCAAAGGACGGGTGCAAGGATGCCGCAAAGCTGGGACTGGATAGATCGAGGTTCGTTTTGGCGGGGAGAAGAGACCAAAAAGAGCGGTTGCCTATGGCCTGTTTAACAAACCGAGCATGTTACAGATGCGGGGGGGGGGGGTATCGGTGTCATTTTTCTTGGATGTTAGGACTGAACAACTTTTTGCCAACTAATGAATTGGTTCTCCGTATTAAACCACTAAAAGTTAGCCACTTTTAGCAGGGCTTCGCAGAGTTCGCAACCGAGAGTTGTGGGAATACCTGTGGCCTGTTTAATAAACCGATAATGGTACACATGGGGGGTATCAGTGTCTCATTTCATCCCGTATCAGTTGTGGTAATATTGATATTTCTTCGGCACTCACATCCTCAACCCAAATCTCTAGGCTGAGTTCTTTAGTGAGTCGCCTGCGGATTGATCACCCCTAGGACTGTGATCGCCAACCCAAGAAGGACAACAGGACTCTTCTCCAAAGGTTTTTGCGGAATTGTCCCAGGGAATCACTTCAATGGGTCCAATTCTCTAAACTCTAAACCCCTTTGTCTTTGGCTTCCCAGCAAAAGGCTTTGGACAAACCCTTTTCGTTGCTTTGAAAGGAAATCAACGCGGAACCAAAGTACAGTTGGGGGGTCCATGTTCTCATGTTGAGACAGAGCATGGCAAACAACAAGTTTCGCAGAAATTCCGGCGTGCTGACAAGACGGTCGGTTGTTTGTTGAGGTGCTGGTGTGGTTGCTTGTTTTGCCGTAAGGGCCACGCTGGAATTTGGCCTCAAGACATATCCATTTGCCAATTTTGCCATCCCTAAAGCAACTCAGGGAATGGTACCGGGACACCCACATTCTGCATACCAAGCCCCATCACCCTCCGGGTGGGTGCGCTTGTTTACCCTGGGTTTATTTGCTGAGTTTTTCTTAGACCAACGACTTGCTGGTTCGGTAGGGGAGTGAGAAAGACCCCAAACTGAACCGTCCGAGGTTCCTTGAGGTCAAAAGGCTCCATAAAGTCCCTAAGAGCCAGCAAATTGTTTTTAATCAGTCGAAATGAGCATTGCAAGTCCATGTCTCGTGCTGAAGAGCAACCAGCGGTTCAAACCCCCAAACAATTTCAATGGTGACAACGACACGGCCTAGACTGCAACAAACATGTTGTTTCTTTCCTGGCAATTCCACTCAAATGATTTCGCAGTGTTCTCTTTCGAGGGTGCCCTGTTTTGGTGGTTTTGTACGGATTTCCCTATTTCAAACATATGTTTTGTAGGCTTCATGGGCCTATTTTCCTTTTACGGGGGGTTCCTTCGCTTACCTAGGTAAATGTTACCACTATGCTAGGTAACTAGCCAGGGGGGGGGAGGGGGGGTCCTCGAACAAAAACAGGAGAAAGGAATCACTTGTACGGCGCCCAACCCCCCATTGGCCAATTTAGTACCCGGCTCTGGTTCAATCAGGGTTGTAAAATCAAAAGCCAAGGTTTAGAACAACAATATCAAAACAACAACGCCATCTACAAAGTTTAAAGCAAGAATAACAAGACAACGGCTACAACCATGATAGAACCCAACGTCAACGAGGTGTTGTCGTCCGCTTAGACTCGGATCTTTTCAACCAAAGACGGGCACCGCCCGCTTCGGCTTCGGAATGCTGCGACCGCGCCGCGTGTCGCGCGTGTCGTAGGCCGGGAAGTACCGCAGCGCGCGGCTGCCCGGTACGGACGAGCCCCATCCCATCGAGGCCTCCGAGGCGACCGGAACTCGGCCCTGGCGCGTTTTTTTATTCTTTTCTTTTCTCCTTTTGTTTGTGTTTTGTTTCCTGTTTTTCTCGGGGGGGCGTTGGCCGGAGCCTTTGAAGGTGACACATCCGAAGCAAGAACAATAGCATGAAGACACTCCAAAGGGGAAACGTCAAGCTCTATGGGTTTATAATTGGTTGTTTCTTTCTTGTCAATTGCCCTTCTTTGTCGGGAAGAAAGATCCCTGAACAAAAAGAAGCGGAAGAAACACGACAAACACTGCACAGATTTCGGTGACACCAATTCTCTGAGTTCCTTTGTGTGTGGTCAGTTCTCCACTGAAATTGTCCACCAATCCACGCAGTAAGTGAATTCCGCGTTTTGAGAAGGGTTGCGTTGTTTTGCCCACGGGCCATTGGATTGTGTTTGACTCGGCAGGTGGCTATGCTGCGTCAGGCGCGGAGCACATGAGTTCGGGGGACGGGTTTCTTCCGGCAATAAACCACGAGGGTGTTTGAGATAGTTTGGTTATGTTTGGTTAGATGGCACTGGTTTAGATTGGAATCTCTTTCCATTTACCGCCAGCTATTGACAAGGCCAGGAAGGTGTGGTGGCTATTTGGGATTGGGATTTGGGCCTTGCTGGGCTTTTGGCACGCTGATTGAGAATCTGTTCTATTAATCTTTCCTGGCGGCGCCGTGGGTTTTGTTGTCTTCGCATCGCTTCATGTGAGGTTTAGGGGAAATATGGCGTTTGTTGTTTCTTCTTTTTTTTCTTTCTCAGGGCTTTGGGCCACGTTTTGGACGGGTTGGAGTGGGGTTGGCGTTGGCCGGGTTAGACCATTCGACCAACTTTCGGAGCCCAAATGACAACGTGAAATGCTCGTTCCATTTGCTTTGGGAAAAGCGAATCATGTGCACTTCCAGGTTTGGATGGGTGATGTATTAAACCAATGCCTGATTGGGTACGTGAAAGCCAGGTGGGTACATGACCGTATATTGAAACTGGTTGGAGTCGATGCCTGAAAATGCAATGTGTACATGAAAGGGCTTTTTGTATTCACGTTGCGCCATCCAACATTTTGCCCTTTGCGGCAATGATGGTAGAAGCAAAATCAAATCCTGAATATATGTGACCGGTGGTAGATGCAGGACCAAATCCTATATGTTTAGGTCTGAGCTGTGACCGGGCTTCAGATATCTGGGTATGTGTCATAGGAGGACCCAATGAAACCCCCCAAGCAAAGCCTATGTGGCTGTGGGGTCAACACCCTGTACCCCTAGTGAACATCAAAATAGCTGGCAAATAGATGCCGTGTGTTTCTCCTGTTGGGTTCTCCTGAAGCTCTCCAAGGCAACCAGGGCCTCAAGCCAAAAAACGGCGAACGTCACCCGGGTTGGGAGCTCCAGGTGGTGGTCATCGACGTGCGGGAGGGCGAGTGTGGCAGCCGGCCGAAAGGCTGCATTGAGCTGTCCGGGCCCCAGGTGTGGCGGGGCCAAGGGGCTTGGGAGCCCTGGATCTCAGTAGGACCCTTCTGCTTGATGTTGATCGGGTGAATCCAATTCCTTTTGGTGGTTAAACTCAGACCACTTTTGGTGGGCCCCCCTCTTCTTCCATTTGCTTCCGTTTATTTCCCCCTGTTGGTTTTAAAGGACATCTATAGAGGTCATACCTTTCCAGGCTTCAGCAGATGGAAGTAGGAACACCGCATTGGCCTCAGCTTTTCCGGCTCGCTGGCAGTAGGAAACTGCTTCCGCCACGCAGCAAAAGGATCGGATCCAAGCCAAATCAAAGCATCTCAGCGTGGTTGGCGGCATTTGGCGGCTGTGGATTTAGGCAGTGGTGTCCAGTTTACCCTTTGCAACACCCAGGTGTTCAAATCCAAACCACCAATCCAACCCCCAATCAAGGAAATTCGAGGCTTGACTGAACATGAAACAGGAAAACCAAAAGGTCCATTGAGTAGTGCCTTCTTCTCGGATGATGGATTTTAGCTTTGGGGGGAACTCCCAAAAGGTCCGCGAAGGCACTTGTGTGCTACATTGTGGCCGCGAAGCCCCGCGGAGCCCATTTTTTCTCGGGATTTTTTTTTGGGGGGAGCCTTTTGAACCCCCCTTTTTGATCGGCTCCTGATGGCCCAAAATATTCAACCACCCCTTTTTTTGAGGGGAAGCCTTTTGACGCCCCTGGGTTTTCGGCTCCTGGCCGGAGACCGAAGGCCGCACCCACAGATGACTTGCCACTTCCCGGCGCTGAACGACAACGAGCTGCTGGAGCTGATGGAGAAGCTCATGGCCACCGAGGGGCGCACGCCTCGGATCATGGGGGGTGGCTGGGTGGATGGCTGGGAGGTTGGGTGGGTGGATTGGTGCGAGGGTGGGTGGGTGGATGGCTGGGAGGTTGGGTGGGAGTTTATTTGTTGTGAGGGTGCTTGTTTAAAGGAAACCCGGCATGAGGTCGTCGCGACAAGAGCGGATTGGACATGTGGGTTGGAACCAACTAAACAGGGTTCCTTAGGGCCAGACGCTCATTTTGACAGTGGCTACATGCAGAGACGTGCTGTCTTGGCTCAGGCCCTGGGTGATTGTGGGCGATGCAGATTTTCCGGTGCGCCACGCCGGGCAGGGGAAGAAAATCGATTCATCCACCTTGGTGGGTCGACAGAAAGCGACCGGGCGTCACTCCTCCATGTTTTGTTCGGTTTGCCTTTGAACATGTTTGTTAGTCCTCCATGGGAGTAGATCACCTTTTAGCCAGGATTGCCTCTTTCTTGCCCAGCAACATGCGGCAGGATTGGCCCACATCCAAAGGGTGCCTGTTGTTTTTCTCAGCCCACCAATGGACTTATGTAACTTATTTTGCAAAGGTCCCAAACATCAGCCCGGAAGGCGTAGTTGTGGCTCGCAAGGAAAGACACAAAAGTTGCGTTTCAGAGCCGCCTTTTCCGCAGGGTGGGCAGGGAGGCATTTGGGTTTTCTCTGCGTGTTGGGGTCACCCTTCATGGAAGGGCTCAAAGGAGATAATTAAGATGCCAGACGAATCGACTGGAGACCAAAGGGCCCTGTTTGCTCCTGTGTGTTTTGTTCGTACGTGCTGTGCGATTTTTCTGGTATGTTTGAATTTGAACGGCCATGGTCATGCCTGGCAACGACTTGTTCAGTGGCAATCACTGTGACCAATACTTAGGAGATCCTATCGACATTTAATTCACAAAAAGCCCAACTCCACCGAAGCCCTGAGTAAGGACAAACTGACGAAACCAAGAAGCGTTTTGCTCGCCAGCTGATTTGCGCTTCAGCCACTTTTCTGGGACCAGTTTAGTCCGCCAGAGCCAAACCAGGGAGCAAGCCAATTTGGGCTTCAAGGGGTCAGCAAAATACCATTGCCATGGTTGTTGTTGGGAAACATTTTTCATTTTTGCTTATTGTGGTTTAGTGGTTGAAGTCCCCACGTAGCTGCTAAAATTTTATTTTTTGCTCCCCTTCCAACGTCAACCAAGTTGCAACCCCATGCTTGTGGTCGTGCTCTTCAAGTGTAGCTAGGCACCAACGTTGGTTAGTTTGTTGTGTTGATACGGGGCCATTGTATCTGGCTAAACGCGGTATTTCTTATCATGTTGGTTCTCCGCAGGGAATGAGGGAATGACCCCTATAAACCATCCCCTATTCAAGGAGATCCTTGTAGGTTCATTCCCAAAATTATGGGTCATTCCATGCACAGCACCAGCAAGGAATTGTTGCATGCTTTTTGGTTATACTGTGGGTGGACGAATTCCTGCACCACCTAAGAAACCCTGGGATGATGATTCCTCTGCAAATGTGCAACAAGCAATGGTTTGGTCTGGTTTGATTGGTGCGAACTGGATTTCGTGCATCCGCAGTATGTCCAAACCGCCCAAAGCCACACGGGGCCCACTTGGGTAGGCGAGCGCCCGGCACGCAGCGCTGCTGCTGGCGGCTTTGCTGAGGCTTTGGCCGAGGCGGAGGGCTCCCTGGTCGGTTGGTCAGTGGGTTTGGATTGGCGGCTCCGTGGTTTGTACACACCGCAAGAACCAGGGCTTGAAATCCCCAAGCCAGTCCAAACCACCACGAGCCCTTGCAACCATGCATTTTCTCTTCGCTGACAGAGGCTTGATGTTTGGAGGGCGTGGGGTGGGGGGGGCGCTTTCTTCAGTTGGGCAAGCTGTCCACGTAAAATGGAGTGACCAAATACCACGATCTCAACTCTTTGCAGCTGCACAGCTCACCAAACAACGCAACAAGATACAATGTAGCACAATGAAAGCACTGAAACCAGCCTCGTCCAAGCCAAAATCTGCAAATTTTGTCAAAATCATGATCAAACGGTTGGTCGTTGTGGTCTTCAAAGATGCTCTTGCTGGACATGGATTAGCGTCTCGAACCTGCCCACAATGACACTTTCATCCTGCAGTGTGCCGGTCCAACATGGCCCAACTTCTGTGACATGATCAAGAAAAAGCACAGCAGTTAGAAAAGAGCGAGTCGCCTTGCTACTGAAACGGCCCCTGTATAGCCACAACATTCGGCGAATCCGGCGCAATGCGCACGCTTTCGCCTTCACTCGCCTTCACTCGGAGCACTCGCTCCGCATGGATGGGCCGAATCGAGCAGCTCTTGGGAGGCTTTGCCCTTGCAGCTCGGCGAAATAGGCTGTGCGGTTGATCTCGGCAAGGTATGGGTTATGGAGTGGAAAGCGAATATAATAGGGCGCTGTGGGGATTCAGACCACCCCTTTGTGGTAAAGGACGGGGAAACATATAAGGTTACGGGGAAAAACATAAGGTTGCTAAATAATAATAAGGACGGGGAAAAAGCATAATGCTGATGCAAATCCCTTTGGCTTTCAGGACTTTGGCATGGGTGCTAAATATCCCACTGTTCTGGGGGACACTTCCATTTCGATTCTTTCCAGGAATCCTTCTTTTCAAAAACCATGAGAACCCCAGGGGAAACTGGAGAGGGTGCACATGAGTTCCTTACATTGTTTAAAAATTACTTCCTTTTTGATGGGGATGGATGGCTGCATTTTTTTGGTGAGGCGCTTAAGAACTGGTGGGCTTTCCCACCAACAGGATCCAACAGAACATGCTCATATACGTTGGATACAAAGGTAGACGGCAGAGTTGCAAACCAAGATTGAGTCGTTTTTCCTCCCTTGTCAAGAAACTTGTGCCATCTACCAGCTCACCCTGGGAGCCCTGCTTTGCCCAGGCCTGCGCCTTTGCCATTGCTGGCAGGGCGTTTTCCAGGGTGCATGCAGCAGAGTGGCAGGTAGAGGTGCGCCGGTGTGGGCGACCCGGCTTTCAGTGCAGCAGGGGGAGGCGTTTCTGTTTCGAGGATTCCACGGGGTCTGGCTCCAGGTAGGGGTTGATCAATATTCCATGTAGGGCCCCCAAATGGCCATGGATAACTTTTACCATGTGTTTGAAATATGATCTTGTTAGTTTTCCAACCAATGGTCATCCCATGTAAAGGACCTTGTGGTCAGCCCCCATGTAGGTGATACCGTGGATGCGAGGTTGAGAAATTCACCGTATTTACTCACGCGTGGAGAATCGTGGCATGGAATAAGAGTCCTCCAAGGTTCGCATGGAGGTCCCATCCGGCGGTTGGGTAAAATTGGTTGGTATGGAGGCCCTCAGCGCTAAGGACCCAACTTTTCCCACCCGTCCCTTTTATACGAAGGACTGCACCAAGCAGGGGCCATGCGCAAGACTAGACAGTTTCCAGGTGGGAAGGGTATGTAACATAGCCAGAGCCACTTGAGTGCTTATGCCCGCCTGAAAGGTTCTGTTGAGGCTGACTTTGGTCATGTCCAAGAATAGGAGAACCTCAAAATAGGTTGCTCCATTTGGCTTTGTCTGGATTGGGAGGTGTACAATTTTAGATCGGATCCGGACCGCGTTCGGAAGAAACTATGCCTCATTTCAGGGAGTCTGCTCATTCAGGGGAATCGATGAGCTGCATGAAACGCAAGTGGGCGGATAGGGACGGTGGAAGCCCCAAATATTGCAAGTCGGGAACGGGACAGACCCCTGTAATCAAGTTGACTCACTTGCAATACCGTGGATGGACGAATCCATTTCGCGCCACCCAATAAATTTTGGAATGATTTGATTCCCCTGCAAATATCGTGGCAAATTCTATATATTATGGTTTCAACCCTGGTTTTTCAGAGAGTGGCGCCAGATAGCTTCCGCAGCCATCCGCAGGATGAAGGGCATCCGGCGTTGGGAACCTGAGGTCGTTGGAACGACCTGAGCATCGCATAGATCTCGCTTTGGGAGGTCGGCCACGACACCTGCGGATTCTGCGGGAGGTATTGAACGTGACGGAGGCCAAGAGGTATGGCACAGCAAAGGGGCCTGTTTTTTGAGGCTAATTGTTGGAAGGGAAAGAACAGGGGAAACCGAAGCAATTTTTCGGGTCCTCTAAAAGATTCAGTATGTGGGTTTTTCTCATTGAATAATGGTTATATAAGATGGTTGGGATTCGTTTTGGCGCTTTGGGTTTGAATGTAGACCGGGCAAAATGCTTGGTTTATCATTTTGCGAGACAATTTCATGAGCTGTCAAGTTGATTTTGCATGTGGAGGAACCGAATGGTCAATGGGTTGAGGCTCCTGTATGTCCTGCAGCCAATGTTTTAGATCTGGGCGCTGTGTTGCTGAAGGTATTTGGGCCTTGGTCACGGTAGTCCTCCGCATTTATTTGGTGCCGTCTTTTGAGTGGCTCGATGCCCTTTATGAATGTTGAAGGGAAACCCAAGGTAAAGCCAACTGGGTGAATTATAACGACCTCACACGACCTCACCCCAAATGGTGGTTTATGTGGGGAACATCTCCCCTACCACCTTATTTCAGATTGGTAAAATATTATAATTCACCCAGAAGCCAACCCTTGGTAGGCTTTCCTTTGAGACAAACCCGCGATGGGTGAGAGGCGCAGAGCATCTTGGCGGCCGCCAAATCCGCGCAGATGCACGCAGAGGAGTTGGTTTTGAGGGCACTCACGCTCGGTAAGAAAACTAAAAGGGAGACCAACATTTGTACTGGGGTCATCATTTTGACGGTTTCTGGGGGGCATCAAAGTCAGAAAATTGGGTTGTTTCCCTTTGCCCACCACTTGAGAAGGTCACTTTGATCATGGTAAAATAATGAGGCCAGTCGTAGGGCCCCCCCATGTTGGAAGCATTCTCACTGACTGCGGGAAAGGTAGGTATTGGAAGGAAGCCCTATTTTGGGAATGTTTGCGGAGAAACCATAGTTCAGGTTGCCCCAGTTGGATGGTGTGGTTTGGACTTGAACCCCTTGATCTTGAGGGTAAATCGACATGAAAAGCACCCCAGCACCTCCAAACCACCGGGCACGAGGACCACAGCATCGAGGTGATCCAAATCTCTAGCTGGGGGCGAGAAATTCTAGCTCCGGGGCCTGGTATAAAGGTTTCTGGAGGGGAGTTCTCTTGTGTTGCTCAGTGCCCTGCTTGGCGACCGACACCCGGCGGAGACCCCCGTATACGTCCGCCCCCCCCCCCATTTTGTGTACGTTTGCATCGATTTTGTATCCCTCCTTTACGCCAGAAAGGCGGAAAGGTGCGCAAAGCGCACGCAGGAGGCTGGGGACAACCCAGTGCAGTCGCTGTGCCGAATACTTGCTGAAGACTCCCAGTGGCGTCCAGGAGCGGCAGTTTGAACCAGCTGCTTTCCTTGCAGGCTACGTTTCAACCTAAAGCCCTCAAAACACACTTGCAACTGGAATCCAACACGAGGCCGTTTGATGCAAAGTTCCTTAAGCAGGGTCAAGCAAGCGTTATCGCCCCACTCTGCCAGGAGACCTAGCCCAAATGGTGCGAACGGCCGTGGAGGAGCGAGTGCTGCTCGACCCTTGAAACGGATCTGACCTGTTGGTTTTTTCCAGCTCCCCAGGTTAGCCCGGAACAAAAGGGCCAAGCCCTGAACCCACCCCAAGCCCCGAAACCCACCCGACCTGAAATGACCTTTTGGTTTCCCGGGCAACCATTTTTAGTCAAGGTCCAAGAAGGTGATCACCTTTTCTTTTTGGGTCCCATCGCGGAAAGTGAGACAAAGGTTTCTGGGACTCTAGTCGCCTTTTGCGAGACCAAGACCCCTTGCCCAGAAATGAGCTTAAATGGAGTTGATTTTAAACTGGTGGACCCCTTGTGGCATTTAAGGGAGACTTTCAAGAAGAGCAAGGAAAGCAAGAGAAACCCGGTGTGAGCCGAGGCTGCCCTAACCCCACCCAAAACGCCGCCTCAGACCAGCCTAACCCCACCTTAAGCCATGCCCCAAACCCCACCTTGCACCCACCCCAAACCCACCTTAGACCTACCCTGACTCCCCGCCAGACCATCCTGAGGCTGCCCTACATGCGGCAGGCCTTGTCCTGTGACTTGGCCACGGCCCAGGTGGTGCTGCGCCGCTACCCGCCACATGGCCCTCGCAGCCACGCGCTGCACGCGGACCACGGGGCATTTGGCGCCCGGGTGTGAGCACGGGGGAACTTAACGGGCGAGTCTGTTTTGGGGTTCCTGCTCCTAAAAAACAAAGCACAGACACACACACACACACACAATCAGGTGGTTTTCCTTTTTGATTGCTCTTTTAAAACTATAAAAGAAAGGTGCCGTGCCTCAACCAAAACAGACATTTCTTGTCGCTTGGTCAGCGCGATCAACAGGGCTGCTCCGACCCTTTGGGGCGATGAAACTGCCACATATCTGTTGATCCCCATGTCTGAAACGCACGCCAAGCGGAAATCCCCGGTGTCCGGGGGTGCGACTCCATATTGTTTTTGGCCCGGGCCAACGCACAGACAACCCGGGACCTTTTGAGCGCAACGCTGAGATCCCAGGCACCGCAGTGATGGACCTCACGCCGATGCCTAAGAGCGGGCTCTTCGTGCAGTGTGGGGACCCGCTGGATCTCGCGTCAAGCGCCGGGCAACCAGAGGCAAGGCGCAGGGCGGTCCTGAAGGTGCCCAAAATAACCCATGGCCCGGTGGTCTAAGCCCGTAACTCTCTTGAGATTCGGGACCAAATCAAGCGAAAGCATGTGCTCTCCAACCGCGAACAATTTATAGGTTCTTATATTCAACAACTCTGATCAACAAATACACAACTACCGCCACCATCCAGCACCCCGCCAATGACAGCTTTTCCCCAAACAAAAAACGAGTGTCCAAAAAGCAGAAGTCGGTGGTAGTTGCCTTTTCGTTGCTTCGCGGGTGCCACAAACACGAGGGCCCCAGCCGCCCAGCATCGAAGGCCTTCTTTGTGCCGCTGGGGCTGGGGGATGTGGCGGTGCATGGCTGGGATGTGTGGCATGGGGTGGCGCTCAAGGACCGAATCCTCCGCTTGGCTTGGAGTCGGAGGCCGGCCAATGTGACCTTCGTCTAGGTCCTTTTTTGGTTGGGAGGGTTCCCCTCCGAAAATAGACCGAAAAAAAGGGCACCCTCATTCTAACCTCTCTACTGGAGGACCCAGTTGTAGTGATGCCCCAAAAGGGCTGGCACAAGGAAGATTGCTCCAGACCGACTTGCCTATGTTATGCCCAAAGGACAAGGCCGGAGTATCAATCTTAGGTTGCTGCAAGTGCGATCCAGGAAATTCCCCGCAAAAATACTTCACCTCCCAAATCGTGGATGCCCCGGCAAAAAAAAGAGAGAGCAACCTCTTGAATCAGGCGGAATCAGGATCGTGCTGGGTTTATGAAAAGCGGCCAAGCGGGGTTGGCGCAATTATGTCTTTCCAAACATCACGTGATCCTCCTTTCAAAGGAAACTGGAAAGGAGGCTTTTCCGGCCACGTCCTCTCCAAAACGCCCTATTTTGACATTGTTCCCCGTGTAGCTTAACCCCTAACCCTTGGGGTGTTTTGGGGGTTGGTAGGGTTGGCAACCACTTCCTTGGGCGTCTCTTAAGAGCTATTTTATATTGGGTAGCCTAAATCTGGGTGTAGGGTGCCCCTTTTTGGGAGGTTTTAAAGGGAACCAAGAGGATAATCACTCCTTTGCTTTTTTTGTTTTTTGTGGGGGCCCTAAGAAAAGACACCAGCCAGAATCAGAGAAACATTGCTTCCATGCCCCCTGTCCAAGTCCCGTGCTAGGAGGGCCAGGAGCGCTTCTCTTTGGTCGTCTGGGCATGTCCAAGCACCAAAACCCCCTGCCAGTGGTACCTCGAGGCGGCCGAAAATGGGGACACGCTGGCTGCCTACCACCTTGGCATTGAGGCTTGGCATCTGGCAAAAGAACCTAAACAATTTGTTTTCCCCTACCTTTTTCCCTCAATGCTGGGGACTCACCTAACAATTTGCCAGGTTAATTATTGAGTTACAATCCTGTGGATGGACAAATTCAAGTACCAGTTGGTAGGTGGTACAGCCCCTATTTCATCCATCCCAAGTGGTGCAGTACGTGCACACCCGCAGTGTGCTTGGTTTTCAAGGGAAGCCCAAACGAACACCGAAGCCATTGTTGGGGAACCCCAGGTTCATGAAGCCCTGGTCGAATTGATCCGGTTGTGTATCCTTTTGGTGGCTAGCACTGCGCCTGTCATAGCGAGCTTACATGGGGGTATAACGAGCTCAAAAAGACAAAGGTCCTTACTTGGGGATCCGTTTAGTTCAGCCTTTGGACATGTTGTACACTTTGCAGATTCATCCAGGGTACACATCAAACTTGTTGTTTCTATAGATATACTAATGTGGTTCAAAAAAGCAGGCCAGGTGTATTTGTTCTTTGCGCGGAGCTTGGTTGTGCTTTCGGGACTGCTTTTTAAGCCCAGCTCCATTTGTCTTTAGCTTCTGGGCTCAGAAAGCAGCGGTGGTGGTCAAACAGTTCGGCTTCTCCCTGGGATGTGCCGATGATCGACTCACCCCAAGGGCACCAGGGCACCTAGAAAAGCCAGTTCCCTGAACAACCTGCAGAAGCCTAATCGCAGTTATTCAAGGAGTTCTGCTTTTCTCAGAAGGAAACCTGACAGGGGTTGGGTTGCTACGGTGGATGTCCTATTGCAAGTAAGGGAACCAGGACACCCTCTAATTGACCGTATGTTACTGGAACTATGGTGTTATGGTTGGGTATGGCCCGCCGTACTGTGGATGGAAGAAATCCTGCACCACCGAAGAAACCCTGGACTGATGATTCCCCAATAAGTACTAACGAACAATGGTTTACCATAGTTTCCAAGTGGTGCGAGAAGCGGATCTTGCAACCATCAGTATCTTGACTGTTATTGGGTTGGATCTCTAGACTTTACCTTGTTGGAAAAACAAGGGGTTTCCCATTAAACCCACAAACAGTTTCCAGCTATTCCAGCTTTTTGCAGGGGGATCAACAGCAAGCATCAGTATGACCATACTGCCCGCTTCAGGCGTGGCGGGGACACCTGAAGAAAGGCGATCTGTCAACCAGCCGCGCCTTTAGCTGGAACCGGCTCATGCGGGCAGCCTTCCAGCGAGGCTGGGAAGATCCTCGGCGAATAAAAAGCAACTTAACTTTGCCCTTTTGCCAAGGGATGTTAGGCCTTTAGCTTTTTGCCAACTCATGGGTTTTCCATGAAACCACTAAAGGTTAAATTTTTAGCAGGGGAGCAGAGTTCGCACCCGAGTTAAAATGGATCTGAGCTTTTGGTTTTCCAACTCACCAGGTTACTTGCGATCGGTGCGAGAGATGCAGGGAATGAGAAATGGAATGACCACGATACACCATTCCTTGTGTTTTTTCCTTTAATGGGACCCGCAGGTTCATTCCTTCATGCCCACCCTAGTAAACGGAACCAAGGACTAAAACCTGCGGTCCCCTGGTGCTTTGATTTTGACCCATACCCACATTGGGAAGTGCTGAATTTGTTTCCAACTCGGGAGCCCTCTTTGGGTGAATCTGTTTGGAGTGCCCCCAAATTGACCTTTTGACCTTGGGAATTGTCCCTGTTGAGGGCCATATGAGTGCATCTTCAGTTGACAACGTGGTTGTTGCATGTCAGGTTTCGATGTTTGGTCTAGAACTTCAACCCTTTTTTCTCTGTGGTACCCCATTATGAATATGGCCCACCAAAAATGGTCAACCCCAAACAGGACAATTTGTGGGCCTGACTTCGTTTGAGTTTCATTTCCATGGGGCAAAATGCCCTGCGCTTTCAAGAACATACTTTCGACGTCACGAGAGAGGGGGAGAGAGACCAAACAAAAGAGAAGAATCTCCCTTTTCAGGCTGGCTCCTTCCTTGTTTTTCAGTCATTTGCAGTTTCTTTGAGCAAGTTAGGATGCCCAGACTCGGAGATAGCCCCTTCAGTTCTTCGTCGAATGTGGAAGCCGCGAACAACTCCGGCGGCTCGCGCGCAGGCTGGAAGCGGGTATGTGCCAAAGTAAAGGGACCCCCCAAAAAAAAATAAGAAGAAGAAGAACCGAGAAGACGTACAGAAGACCTGGGACACCTCTGATGGAAAATCCGCAAAAGACAAAGAAACAAAGAACACGAAAAAGACGAACCCTCCAGCATGGCTTTCGAGCATCCCCCAACCCTGCCAGCATGATTGCTTTCATTTGGGGTCCGGGGTATGCTCAAAAGGTGTGTTTGAGGGCTCTTGGAGAAAAAACAAGCTTTTGTTTGGCTCCCCTTTAAGCCAACCTTAAAGGGGTACCCTCAAACAAGACACACCCCGAGTCTAAGCACAAAGACTGCTCTCTTATCCATGCTCGCAATGGAACCATTTCCCAAGGCTTTTGTTGAGAAGCACCGCGGAAGAGATAGAGAGAGAGAGAGAAAAAGAGAGAAAAGAGAGAGAGAGAGAGAGAGAGAGAGAGAGAGAGAGAGAGAGACAGCTATATATATATATATATATGTCTACAATTGTGTACATGTTTATATATACATAATATATGTATACATGCTTATATATATATATATACATATATTATATAATTCATGCTTGGTAGCCACATTGTGGCTTTTTGGGCGTGGAAAGTGTTTCCTTTGTCCCCTAGGTCTTCATCAACCCTCAGCGCCTTTCAGCTTTTCGCGGCCACGTCCGGCTGTTGTTGGAGTCGAGTGGCAAGCCGGCGAGCGGCGGTGTGGCACGAGCACGCAGGAGCCATCGGGAACAACCGAGTGCTCAGAGGCTTCCCGAGAGGACCGCGGCAATGTCGCGCGACACGCAGAATCGAGCACATGCAGAAGTGAAGCTTTTGTGGACTCACTATCGCCGAAGGACGACGCAATTCATCTTGAGATGTGCGAAGTGCATCAGACGCATACGGCGAAAAGTTGGTAGAACCTCGCCTGTGCAGAAAACAGTCCATTCTTTGTATCAACATTGTGATGCTTTGCGCTCTCAGCGGGAACCCAGTGATTCGATTTTTTCGTGGGCGGGGGACCCTCAGGTAACTGGGAACAGGGGAAACCTGCAAGCCTAGGGGATTCTCGAAGGGATCGCTTCCCTGAAATTGTTGGGTTTATTTCTGGTTGCCCTCAACTTGGAGAAACTCCGACAATGTTCAACAACATTTGTGTCTTTTTAGGTTTGTCGTATGAACCTATCTTTCGGCGCCAGAAAGCAAAGGAGACAACACCCTGCTTTTGCAAGGGCACGACCAAAATACCAGTTTCTTGAAGTCCACCTGACACCTCCCCCTGACACCTCACACCTGACACCCCCTAAAACCCAAGCACCCACCTCTCTAGGGGTACCTTCCCCATTCTTTCCAGGGGTCCTTCTTTCTAGAAAACCTCCGGAAACCCAAGGGAAAATAGCTGGTTTTTGAAAAGAACGATGGTTGAAAAGATTTGGGAACCAACCCCTAGAACCCCACCCCACCCCCCGCTCCCGCAGGGACCTGCGCCCGCTGCGGGGGGGCTTCCGCGCCTGGGTGGCTGCAGGCCTCCCGGTGCAGCGGAACCTGCGGCCCACGCGGGCGCGGTCCCTCTGAGGCCCGGCCCTCGAAGTTGCACACACGTGGATCCTCTCGGCCCATTGGCCCCAGGAAGTCCCTTGCCGCTTTTTTGGCTTGGGGTGCTGAAAATGGCGGCGGTGGTTTTTGGTTTTGGTGGGAAGGGAGCCGGACTCGGAGCTGGGGTAAAAGCCAACAAAAAAAGAGGACATGCGGTGGAAGAGGGAGCGGATGGTTTGCAAAGCGCCAGGCTCAGACCTGTCTGAGCGCTTTGCTTTGTGCTCGCTTTGCCTGATGGCTCAGAGCCATAGCTCTGAGGAAGGGGCATCGAAGGGGCATCGAAGGCCAAGCTTCAAACCTTTCTGACCAGCGCCGTGGCACTGGCAATCCTCTTGCCGAAGGATCACACTGGTATTTTGGAGGCTGAGCTCCACCAAAACTTAATTTGTGGGTGGGCTTGGGTGGTTTGGATTTGGAGTTGAACACTTGGTTCTTGGTGATGCTAGATGGGAAACCACTCCCGGAACACCTCCAAACCACCAATCATAGGAGTCACAGGGAAACAGATTTCATGACTTTTGCAAGCAAAGAATCAAAGAAGTCATGAAATCATAGGAAACTTCAAGTCCAACGGTGGAAGTACATACTTGGTCATACCCCTTGGCTTGGTTTCTGAATTTCTAACCCACTTTATGAGTTGTATATACTCCTTTCGGCGAGAGGGCTATGAACTTCAGCGGGCCTTTTGGGTTCATTTGCCCAAGGGGTATGCAAAAGAGGTATGTACAAGCACCCCTGGATCAAGGCCAATGTTTGAAGCTTGGGCCTCCCGATTCGGAGACAGGTGCAGGCGAAAAAGGCCGCACCCGGCGGCGAAGAAATACGGTCCGACGGTACGCCTTCTTGAGTATCTCCTTCTCTGTCCTGCTTTTTCTTTTTGTTTGCGGTTTTTTTTTAGGGGGGAGGCTTCTCCCTTTCCCTTTTTTTTTGGGGGGGGGAGGAAGGTCGTCTTTATTCGCGGTAATGAAGCCCACAGTTCAGACTTGTTATTGACCAATCCACTCACGTGAGCATGACTCCTCGTCTTGGATGATAATTGCACACGGTGTATATCATGCTTGTCGGAGATGAAGGACTTTAGCAATATTTGGGTTTCCGATGGATCTCGGCTTTGCCTTTGGTTCCCTTTTTGGAAGAGCCCCATGTCTGTGAGCTGCTTTCATTTTCGTCCAAAGGGGGGCAACCCGCAAGCTGCTTGCCATTCCCGGAGCGGATTGCTAGATCGCGTGCTGGCTTTGCTTTTTGGCTCGGCGCGCGAGTTGGAGCCAAGCCGACAGACGACCAATGGCCATGGGGCACGCACCGGAAAGAAAGAGAAGAACCATCGACGCCGCATCAGCTGGGGCAGACAATCAGCACTTGTGGACGGCGCATCCGTCCGAGACTCGCTTCATTCGCAATGGCTGAACCCAACGGGGAGCGAGGCGGGACATTTGTTCACGCATCCGTGGCCAAGGGGTGAGTGGGCGGCTTGCTAGAAATTTGTAGATACCCCTTGCAAACGTTTCCCCGTTCGTATAATTTCGGGCTACTTAGGTGTGCGGGCCCCGTTGATTTGGTGAGCTTCCTATAGTTTATAACTCATACAAGGCCTCAAGCGGAGTGGAATTGCTAGCCTTTTACTCGCTGCTCCAGCCACTGGCTATTGGAAGGGTTCAATGCAGGTTGTGCTGAATCTGGCCAATTGCAGAGGTAATGTTGACCCCATATTTATTAATCAACATCAGTTTATCAGCTTCCCCACCAAACCCAGGGACACCCCCAATATTAGTTACCCGGGGTTTAGTAATATGGGGACATTGCCAAATCTACACTGATTGCCAAACGCGGGCATCAAGAAAGACGCATCATTTGAGTCACCGCGGAGCCTGCGGACCCTGGAGTTCCCGAGCTTGGTTTGCCTGAGCTGTGTTTGGTTCTGACGCAGAAAGGGTTATGCTGCATATGCAGCCAGCCTTGTAAGTGAGTAGCGCTCTAAACGTCTGTTGGCCGTTTCACTGGGTGGTCCTACGAACAGGTTTAGGGCTATATGAACCTTTGCAACCATATTGGTAGAGCAACAAGAAGTCAGCGGGTGTTGGGGTTGGAGATGAGAAGCAGCCCAAGGGTGAAGGTCGATGTTTTTGGGCGGCCAGGTCATCCAGTGAGGGTGAACGTGAAGAATTTGAGCTCCGGCTGCTGGGCGAGAATTTGACGATTGTGGCGCCGGCGTTTTGTTCAGCTCGTTTGTGCGAAGATTTCTGGCAACCCTGGACTGGTTTGGATTTGGAGTTGAACGAAATGTTCTTGTAGAGGGTAACAACTCCCGCAACACCTCCAAACCATCAATCCAAATCACCCCTCGAAACTATGAATCAAAAGCATTAGTAGGAATCTGAATGTTGGCAACAGGTGCCCAGCGGCGCGTTTGCGAGTTACCAAGAGCAGTAATATTGAGCCAACAAGTTTCCAATTGGCAACACGTTGCCCAACATGTTGCTTCTGGGACTGAAATTGGTTTTAGAATACCCTGTAGGGTACGACCCCGTTGACTATTTTAGCCCCAGTCAGCTTGGGACCCAGTCACTTGTGGATGCGAACCACTCGGCGGCCAAGCTGCAACCGACAAGGATTGTGTTTACGTGTTTCATTCTTTGAGTGTATGCTTTCTGAGGTACCCAATTAGTAATTAAAGCTGCTTTTGCAATGTCAAGTAGCAACCCCTGGGAGTGCAGTCGGGTGAAAGTAAGATGACGCAATTCCCTAGCTTAGTCATTCCATGTCATTCCCTTTCCTTACCCACAAGGGAACTGTGGCATCTACTTTCACTCCAATTGCACCCCCAGGGTTTTTACTGGGAAACATAACCAGTGTAGAGCCGCAACACGAAGAGATACACATCTTCCTTGTTCTCGACGGTTTCTCAACTGGCTCTCAGGAAGGGATGACCCCTATGAAGCATCCGAGTGGCTTCCTTTGATAGAATCCCAAACGTTTCCCCGCACTTTGCCGAACCTGCAAGTGTGAACACCAGGTTACCATCAAAGGCGAAGTGACGGGAAAAAAGTCCGAACGGGATGGACCCCCTTGGTTAGTGGCTCAAGGGACATCAAACCAAAAGCGCCAGCCTTATTTGGGTGTCTTTTTGAAGAATCAGACCCCCAAACGGCTTCGGCTTTCCTTTTGGCTTTCCATGAAAACCAACCAAGAAAGGGGCACCCCGAGCCTCAAGAAAAGACAAAGTGCGGAACTCTGGGTCTTCTTGCTTTGCTGGTGTGATAGGTAGGAAATGTGGTTGAATGAACCCAGGCTTTGGTCCCTGAATAACGGAAACCACAAGTTGGATGCTTTATAGGGGTCCTTCCCTCGCTGAGACCCAGCAAGTTTTGGCAAGAGGAGCCCCCTATCAAAACGGAGTGAGGGATAAGCTCGCATGTTCAGCAGGGTGAGGGATTCCATTTCTCATCCCTTTCTCATTCCCTGCTGTTCTGGTAGCAAGTCTTTTGGTGGAGACTCAAAACCATGAGGCTGCACCGAGGAGGAGCTGCGGCGGCTCTTCGGGGCCTGCGGCACCGTCACAGAGGCGGTGCTCGTTCCGGCCGTGCTCCGTGAACGCGCTGGAAAGGACAACGTGGCGCAAGCTGGCGCAGGCTTAAAGCGCTTAAAGGACCTGTATATATATATATATATATTCATTTATATCTTTTCTTGAGGGGTGCCACGTTTTGGGGTTGGTGTGAAAGCAGTCGCTTGTTGGGTGTTTTTTGATTGTTGGGCGTTGGGCGTTGCAAGGGTAGCCATGTGGAGTTGAGTGGCACCCACCGGGTCCCTCTAAGACGAAACTACTGAGTTTGGCCAGGGCGAGCTAAGCCGACTTTACCCATGTTGAATGGCCTTTTCTGGGGGAGTGCTTATTTCCAGGGGGACAGAACTTTGCCAAGAATCATGTTCGGTTTGAGGGCGACCCTTTTGAGGGGCGGTGGTTTGGTTTGAATCATTGTCCTGTGTGTTCGGGGGTCCTTTTTGGGGTTGCAGATCTCGGTCTGTCAGCCTTTGAAGGCAGATCGCAAATGGGTGTCTGGGACGATGCACCTTTGTGGGATGGTCTTGGGAAGTAAAAAGGGAAGCCACGCATAGTGAGGCTTTTCAAACCTTGCCCTTTTGGCCTAGTCTTAGTCAACCGACGGAGTTGGACAAGTGCCCCGTGGCAAAGTTTTACGGTCCAGTTCTTCATCATTTTACTCCTCAGATGGTTGAGAGAAGGATAGGAGAACAAAGCAGCCTGTTGGCATACAGGAATCTTGCAGAGATAGAGAAAGCTTTTGTCCTACAAGTACTTTCGGAGTGATCCTTTGCCAAGCGAGATGGTCCCCTCCCCAATCTGGCTACGATTTCATTGAAAAACAGCCTAAACGAGTCCAACACTAGATCCGACCAATACTGGCATGGCGCTAGACAACAAAGTATAGCTGGCTGCTCAAGTGCGTGTGTTTCTTTTGAAAGGAGGTACCCCCATTTTTGGTGGTTGTTTAAGGGAAACACCAAAGACAATCGCCCTTTTTGGGGGGACCCCTAAAAAAAAATACAGAAGGGCCGCTCACAGGGATGTAGTTTTACAGCTCCAATGCTTCCAGTTACAAAACCAGACGCACCCAACTGGCTGTGGCTCAAAACCGGTACCAAATTGGAACCCTGGTAAGTGGAAACATGGACCAAAACCTGAGTAACCTCCCCTGTTTCATTTTGAGCCACACCCAAACAGGGGGGTCTTTTTGCCACCTTTTGTGGAAAATGGTTCGACGCCCTCGTAGTAAAGGATTCCTTTGTAAGGGGGTCGCCAATTTTCTCACAAACAAAAACAACTTCCCTGCACCCAACTGGTAAGACAGGCAGAGGTGAAGAAGAACCCCGACGGCAGCTGCCGGGGCATGGGCTTTGTGTGCTTCGCGCCCGGCACTCGGAGAGCTCGCGGCCGTAAAGGTTTCGCCGTTTCGGAGAAGACAGGAGGTGGTGTCAACACAGCGGTTGTTCGGTTTTTGGCAGATGGCTGCGGCTTGAACACGTGTCACCAACATGACAGCATGGCAAATGGAGCCCAAGACTAGAACCTGCGTAATCCTAGCTCGTGAAATTTGAGCTACACCCAGGTGATCGAAAACAAGCAGGAAAATAGCAGAGCTGTTTTTGTTTGTTACTTTGAAGTTGACGTAATGCCCCAAAGAAATTGGGAATTTGGAATAGGATGTGTGTTTGGGTGTGTGTGTGTGTCTGCCAAATGGACAATGTTTTGGGTTGTTGGTGTTGAACGACAAGTACAATGATCACGGGTTTGACCCTCCCCTTGAGATTAGCGCCAAAGAGGTGCAATAGAATGGGCGCACACCTCTACATATAGTGCGGTCGGATACATGATTTGACTTGAGGCGCTCTGTTCGCTCACATCATTGTTATCGCCGGGGTATGTTACGTTTGAGTGAAGGTGAAGAGAATGTTGCACAAAGCACAGCTCTAGGAGGCAATCAAGGACGAAAGGCAAGGCCGAGAGATCGAAGCAGAATGCAAACAGAGAGATGAATCGAGCGGCCCAAGGACTCAGGAGGAGGCGGAGAAAGCCGTAAACGAGACAAATGCCGCCACCTCAGGTGGTGGTCGTCGTTGTTGCTGTTCGTTCACACATTTGAGGTTCGGGGGTGTTGTTGCTGGTGAGGGAAGTTGTGGTATTGGTGGTGTTTGCGGTATTCGAATTGGTGGTGCTGGTGGTGTTGGTAGTTTTGGTGGTGTTGTTCATGTGTTGTTCTTTGTTGTTTTTTGTTTTGTGCGCGACCTGGTGGCGAAAATATCTCACAAGTTCGGATGGATGAAAACTGTTCAGAGCGATAGCCAACACATCACCTGGTGCACGCTGGTGCCCATCCGCAGTATGCTTGGTACTGGAAGCGTGTGCTAGAGATTGGTTCCTTCCGTTTTGTCGCACCAAGTGTCCGACGTTTGTTCATGCCACTGGGAAGCCACATAGATGTGTGAGGTCTGCGCCAGAGTCAGGCATATAAGCTGAACACTTCTTAGGAATCCACATTGGGAGCACGCGTTGCTTTTCGGGCAGAGTGTCCACTGTTGAACTTGGATTGCATGATGCTTGTGTCGGGGAGCCATGTGTGTCGGATGTGCAATGCGTGGGTAACACAAATTCACCCATGACGACGGCCCCTTGTTTGGAGGTTCCTTCCCTCCGATTTGCGACTACTAAGTTGGCCAGTTTCCAGTCGGAGGTCAGGAACCTCATTCTTTCTCCAACTGAAAAGGTGCATGTTTTGCTATTTTTGGTATGATGTCGACCCTCTACTAAAAAAGGAGGTATTTACCATGGAAACCCAGGTTTTTCACACAATTTGGAGTATGGGGTAGAGTTATGCGTGCAGAAATGGTCAATTTGTGGGCAGAGTGTGTGGCCCTCCAAACGAGGGCCGAGAAACAGCCTGTTTGCGCGCTTCAGGGGATGGAAGTGGAGGACGGGGACGGCTGGGTGGGGCCGGCAGCAGCTGACAGTTCGTTGAGTCAATCTTCTCGGGTGGGGATTCATCCAGACTGCACCTGGGAAGCAGCTGCAGAGCCAGGTGTGGCAATCGCCATGTCGAAAAATAAAGTATCGCAGCGTCTTGCGTTTGCCAGTTCAGTGGCACCCTTAAGGCTTCCCTTAGTTGACTTCACTCAAGATCGTCAACCTCCAAAACGAGGTTCCCTTTGTGTCTACCGGTTGGGTCACATGTTTGAGTCATTTGAGGCGTCGATCGGCTAGGGAGAGCATGGGAAGTCAATGCCTGAGTACTTTGAGGCAAAAATATCCGGGTCGACAAGCATCGAATTTGGCAGTGAGTGAGCCGCCAGTGTTGTGTCGTAGTGAGTGTATTTCTGGGCACCGGGATCCTCCAGGGTATGCTTTTTACATCTTCTTACACTGTGGCTGTATGTTTGTTAGTGTTTTGTGTTGTTCGGGGGGGGGGGGTAAAAGCATCTTAAAATTGTGTACACGGCCCACGTAAAACATACTCGGGTTATTTGGGATGCTCCACCGCTTTCTCTACGAGACTTGTGGCGTTTTGGGGCGTGTGAATGTATATTGTTGTTGGTTGGATTTCCAGATCTTCAATTGAGAACCCACCAACAAAAATTCTGACCTCCCAAAAGATGGGATGTTTCGTGGGATTCCATGGGCTTCCATGAGCTTCTATCATACTGAAGCTTCCGAACGCTCTTCTTTGCAGGAGCGGCAGCTCAGCGTCACAGCCTCGACTTTCGCAGACGGAGGTTCTTTAAAAGCGAAGTGGAAGAAACCCTGATTGCAGGGGTCCCAACAAGAAAAAAACTCGGGACTCTTTTGCTGGCAATCCTCTCACGAGAGGCACGGGGTTACATTCAGCTCGCATCCGACGCAAACAACATGCCGCTAGCCGCTAGGTGAAGATTGTGGAGCGCCGCGAGAAAGGTGAAGGCGCGCTGTTTGGGGTTTTGTCTCACTTGCCCAAAGCCTTATTCCCAGGTCCTTTGGGCAACTGAGTTGTGTGCGTGTAGGTCCATGTTTGGTTAAAGTTCAATATGATAAGGTAGTTATTGGCCAGAACTATGGGCAGATCTGGGCCATCCAAAATGAGCTCAGCCTGTAGAATTTGAGCTCCACAGATTCCTCGAGTCATCGAAGGGCCATTTGCCTCCGTGCCAAGAGGCTACGCTTCACGACTGGCCCTACAAGACCTGGAAATTCCCAAGTTGCTTTTGTGGGTTTTCACTCAAAATGGCCATGGGTCAAAATCCAAATCGGTTAGCCCCCAGTGAAATCCCAATCCAACCACTAAAATGGACTAAAATGGGTTTCAGACATTCTTGGCGGGCAGGGATTTCCTAAATGCTGAAATCTAAGGCTTGCGAAGGCTCTACTGCCAGATATGAGTTGTTCAACTCGCTTGCCCAAGCCAGTCTACCTTGTGACCTTTTTGTTGGTTTCCCCTTTCTCCATTCCGGCCATGGCCCCCCAAATATTTCTGGGTCCTGGCAACTGAGTCCAGTGGGATGCGCCCCCAAGTCAAACTTCTCGGGATTTTTGGGTTCAGTCCTTTCGGTCGGGTGAATGGCCTTGCCCACGATTTGCTGTGCTCCTTTGTTGCTTACCTACTTTCTAGGGGAACCTTCCCCATTCTTTCCAGGGATCCTTCTTTCTAGAAAACCTCCGGAAATCCAAGGGAGATAGCTGGTTTTTGAAAAGAACGGTGGTTGAAAAGAATGGGGAATCAACCCCCAGATACTTGAGCGCCAGTGGTGCTGTTGGTAGTAGCTGTGTGAACGTTCCAGCTGGGGCTCACAGCGTTTTTAATCATATTTGCATCCAAACCACCTGGCAGCTAGGTGGCCGTTTTCTAGAAGAATGTGAACTTCGGATTCATCCGGAGGCTTCCTGAGTTCTTGGACTTTATGCTTATGGGGAGACAATGTGGGCGGAAACAAAACATTCAACTTGGTTTGGCAAATCCACGAAGCAAGTGAAACCATATTACTGTAGCAAGAGGAATCCTCGTAAAGTCCCGCAGGAGGATCCGCCCCTGATCAAAGGAGGAGCATACTGATCCGAGTCATTTCAAATGATCAATGCCTCTCTCAATGAGGGCTGTCCAACCCCCATTGAGGGCCTACAAATCCAAAGTCAGCATTCCTGAGCTGGGTGCTGCATATCCCACGCTTATTTTTCACTTAAAGGATTTGTGTCGTTGTTTCTCCCGCCCCAGCGGCCAGGCAAGGGCAAAGGCAAAGGCAAGCACAAGGCCGGGTCAGGGGGGGGAGAACCCAAAAAAAACACTCCCCTGGAACCAGCAAATGGCGGGGCTGGGCTCCCCACTTTCTCTGAAAATTGTGGTGTCTTTCGGCTTTCATGTCAAGTCAGCAATAGCATCTACGGAGTTCTATTTCGAAGGTTTGGTTCATATATGCATCCCTTTTTGCTGATTATTGTAGTTCACCTTTGCAGGGCCTCCCTTCAACTTCACATGAAACCTGATAACTTTCACCTCCCAGGGAATTGTCTTAAAACATCCAGGAATCCATGTTTGTTGTCGGGCTCCAACCTGGAGACTCTGTTGCCACTGAATGGGTTAGTAGGGGAGGGGGTTCGATCTAGTGCTGGATGGATAGACCTTGTGATTTGGGGCCCACCTGTAGACTTCCACTTGAAGAATCGGATCGCTGATCTCAATCACGGAATCGCGGATATGCACAGCGACCCTGACACGTCGTGGGTGTGGAGGCTTTGAGTTAATTTTCATGTTGCTTCATCCAGTCGGATACGATTTTGCTTCCTTCGATGTGGGTAGTGAATTTTAATTGGGGACCCAAAATGGTGGACATCATTTGCATGGGGATTTTCTGACCAGCCACTTTACTGGGGTTCCCTTTAAACAACATGGCCACGCGAGGCGACATATGCTCAACCAAACTGGTATGGCCGGCAGCTCAGACAGCCACAGCTTCACAGGTCCCCGGCTTGCAACAATCAGGAGGTCAATCAACCAGGAGGTTGTCCGTCAGGGGTTACATCATTCTGAGAACTATTTGAGGGCGTTCCCACTAACCACCCGCTTTCATGTCATAGTAGCTGCCCCGCTAAAAAGTGGAGGTCTTGTTTAGTTCCTTTGTTCTGAGCTTCTTTTTCCTTTGCGTTCTTCCATCAAAGTCACAGATGGTGAAGGAATGTTGCTTTTCTTGCATGGCTTTGTCCCTAAATGGGGGGTTCGTACCATCCGATGGGCGGGATGGTCCAGTCATTTCCAATTGCACAGGCACGTGATGGCGCCTCCAGATGCCGGTTTTAGATTCGTCACAGCAAGACAAGCTGGAGTCTTCGCAATTCATAGATTCTATCATTTCCCTCTTCCTGCTGAAGTCAGGCGCACGCCTGGCAAAGTGACAAAGGGACTCTCGCAGGGTTCAGTGATGCTCATTGCAAGAAGTTGGCCGCCCTTCGAGTGCACATGGACATTGGGCTGAAATGTGTTAAGCGAAGAAAAACACATGCCAGGAATGGCTCAACAGATGCAGCTGCCATGAATTGTTAGGGAAACCTGGATAGGTGTGTGTGTGTGTGCGCGTTCTTGTTTGGGTAGTACCTGTTTGGGGTTGTTCTTCCGGGAATTCGAAGAAGCAACGACCCCATTTGCGAAAACCCTTGTCATTGACCTGCCCCCACATCAGACATGATGACATTATGTTAGACCGCGGTTGGCCCCCCCCCCCCGCGAAATTCAACCTATAGGGTACTGATCTAGTGTTTTGTTTTTGGTTAATGCAATTCCCAACATGATGGTTTGTCCCTTTGGGGCCCTCATGATTTTCAGTCACAGCAGGGCGAAAGTAGATTGCACATTCCTTTGTTTGAGAAAGGATGACTCAATTTCAGTGGGGGAGTTGCGTCGATCCCAAAATACGCATGTTTTCCAGAGTTTCCCTTTTTGAGGAATCAAGCGCTGGGTTTTTGCGCTGACCTTGGGATAGTCCAAACATGGAACGGAACCTGCTCAGGGGATAAGTCCCTTAAGAGAACGCCTTCGAGGTCAGCAAATGGACCCCATGCCGGTCCCTCAGCCATCGATGCGAACAGGAGTCAGGGTCAGAATGATGGCACGCCTGTACTGGAATCATGATGCCCCTGTAAATGTCAAACAAGCCATGGTTTCAACCATCGTGATGCAGGATTTCTAGGGGATTTCAACCAAACAAGCCATGATGTTCCCCTGTAAATGCCTAGAGAGCCTGGAATCATGGTTTCCTTGGTTTCAAAATCGTGCAGGATTTCGTCCATCCACAGTTGGTTGCTCGGTCACGTCCGGTGCCGTGCAGCGCTGAGTCCGCCTGTGGCGCATGCACGAAGAAGAAAGCGCCGAAAAGTCCACAGTAGCTTGAGGATGTCGCCCTGGTTTCGGCCCAGTTCAACTTGGGTCCCTCGATTTCCCGGATGCATTGCACAGGCCCAAAACTTTGACTGGACGTCAGTTTCCGACCACCCCTAGTCGTGCATCCTTTGGGGGGCTACTTTCTTCCAAGCTCCCACCTTTAACATAGTTGTGTTTTATTATTATTTACTCATATGTATATATATATATATATATATTGTAATTTTATTGATTTGATGATTTTGTGATTTATATACTTACGTATTGTTCATTGTTATGTTGATTGATTCATTTATTCATGTTGGATTTATTTATAGGGTCGTCTACAATGAATTAGCCGTTTTAACCACGTTTCCTGACGTTCGGCATGGTTTAAATATTTGACTGAGGTGCCAGATAGACATGGTGTTGAATCCGGGCCGCAGATTCATTAATGAAACGGGGGGCGTTGTTATCAGTGCTCAACATGTGTGCGTGTGTGTTTGTGTCTCTGTGTGGCTCCGTAAGCCTTTGCGTGTCTCTGTGTGTCTCTGTGTTTCTCTTTATTCTATACGTGTTGTTGTTTGTGTGTATGTGTTTGTGTATGTCTCGGCGTGTTTGTGCGTGTTTGTGTGTCTCTGCTGTGTGTCTCGGCGTGTGTTTGTGTGTGGGTGCGTGCGCGCGCGCGCGTGCGTGCGTGGGTGTGCGTGTGGAGGGTATGGGTGTCGGGTCGGAAGCGATACCAAACGGCAACCCCCCATATGGGGGAACCCCTGATAATGGGCCGCTAAACATGGGTGGTGTTGGTTTAGAGCAAGCTGAAAAAGAGTACCAGCTCAAAACGATAAACCACATGTGTATGTATACATATATGGGGGTTGTTGAGGGTGCCATTTGTTTGATTGGTTTAAAGGGATGTTCGCAGGAACGCCCATAGATTTTGCGGGTACCCCGAAACCGAACCGATGCCCAGGGCGGCGATGGGCTACCCGCGCAAGCCCAAGGAAACTTGTTTCCTCGACATTAGGTCAGAGGGAAACAGAAATCAGAGGAGAGAGAGAGAGAGTTCTCAGCAACTCTGGTGGATACCTTGCGGTTCAATGAAAGAGCGACCACGGGTTCTTGGGGCCCGAAAACGGGCACCATAGTCAGGTGAGAACCGGCCAGACACACCTCAGCTTGTGGCAAAGCAAACAAGTGAGACACCAGGCAACCCTGAATTGGATATTTGGAGTGGCGCAATTTAGTTCCTTCCGAAACCAAAAGGGAAGGGTACGGTCCAAACCACAAAGCCCAACTGTTATAGGAGCAAGGCTTTTTAGGGATGCGCGTTTTCCAGCCCCTTTGATTTGTTCCTTCTTGTCTATCACCGTTTGCTTGTAACACTAGTCTACACAAACCCACTCTGAAAACCGCGTATTTTCTCTGGCTTCCAATAACGGAGTCGAACCGCAAAGGGTTCCCTGCCCCGTTTCTGGAACCCGGGGCACTGAACAAAGGGTCTTCAACGCCTAAATGTAACATCTTGTGGTTCCAGCACGCCAAGACCTCTTTCGATTTGTGTTTTTTGCTTGCCGCTTTGGCGTGGGGTGGCAACCCAAAGGATCCATTTGGTCAATCCTGGAGTGTGATGTCTGATTGGGACGTTTGCAAAACCACCTTCGCAGTTCCTTACCGTTGGACAAATTTCATTTGGGAGATGGGAGGGTAGCACAAAATCGACAAGTGTTTCGGAGCCTCCGATTCCTCTCACTCAAACAACCCCTTTGTTTGCCGATGTTCGGTCGCACCCTTTTTAAGCCGGTTGCTCAGAGGGTATCTGAACACCGACACTTTCGGCTGATGCAGTTTGTTGCCAAGGTTCAAGAAGTCAATCTTGTCAGTTTTTGCTTTTGGGGAGGGGGCTTAAGGCTTAAGGTTTGTTCCAATGGTTGTCCAACCTCCCCCTTCAGAGAGGGACCCCCCGAGAAGAAAAAACAAGTCCGCAGTGGCTAAAGCCGGCGCTTGGAACATTTCGTCGGATTTGCGTGGCAAGGGATTTTCGAGGCAAGGGATCGGCTTCGATCCGAAGGTTCTACGAGTACAGCATGATGAACCCGTACGGCTACGACATGGGCGCCATGTACAACGCCATGCCCAGACCTCCAGGTTTTGCTTCCGGTTTTACTTGGGAATGGGTACGGCAGAATTCAAAATCAAAAGGAATGCCCGATTTTCCCCGTGGATAGTGCACTGGGTCCCGGCCTGGGTGTTATAATTGTGGACGTTGGGCCCTTCTTGGCATATCTTGGTGGAACGGTGGATGCCCGGATTGCTGAAGTAAATCAACCAGAAGCCTTCCCCAGAATGAGTTTCCCTTTTATTTGTTTGCTTTTTTGGGGTTCCCTTTGTTTTCCACTACCAGGCAAAACATATCATTTTGTGCTGGGGTCCTAATTCCAGCCAAGAAACCATGGTGACATTTTCAAGGTTGTCCTTGTTCCCTGCTTGCGAAATGTCTGGGGCATCCACCGAACCAACAGCCAATTGGGTTTCCGGCGCGGCTCACATCAGCAACGGTCGTATTGCAGTGGTTTTTGCTGGTTTATTGGTATTTGGGGTAGGCCCTATTGGTCTACAACAAGAGCCTGTGTTTGTTTTTCCCTCGGCCAATCTGATCCATTTTGGTGAGCCAACTGTTTCTGTGGGCTCGCTTGTATGGGGCACTGAGGGTAGGAGTGTGAACCTTTGCTGCGCCTGGAAAGTGGGAAGCAACTACGTAGCTGACTGACCTGAGAGCAAGAACAATCACGCCGTGCATGTACCAGAGCATTGCTGGGGAGCTTTAACTTGCTTTGCATCTTTTGACCTGGTACCTTTCTCAGGTCGTTCTTGAAGGGAAGCCAAAACTGGTTCTCAGGGAATGGGAATGAATCCAGGGATTCCCGAAAGGAAAGCAGCGGTCGGAGGGTTTTTCTTGGGGTCTTAAGTCTTAGGTCATCCTTCTCAGGGCTTGTAGGACGCAGCAAGAGGAGGAGAGGCGCACCACGTTTGGGGGGGACCCCGCCGTTTTAACGAGTCCGAGGTACGGCCAGCCCAGCATGTTCAACGGCTTTTCCATGGCCGGCCTGGCGCGGTTAATTCTCCGAATCGCTTTCGGGATGTTCTCGGTCCAAGTCGAATCAAGCTTTTGATCGCTGCCTTGATTCATTGACTCATGTGTGCTCTGGTCAAAAGACCGGTTCCTTTACTTGAAGCGGTCGTCCACCTGGTAGTAATGGATCCGCAACACGCATTGGAATGATTCCTACTGAGGGAACCATAACCGACATGCTGCGATCCGTTTTATTTTTTTATTTTATTTTTTCCCGTTTCATCCCCCGGTGGTGTATGGAAGAGTATCCCGAATGAAGCGGCCCCTCCCCGCACAGAGTACCTCTGCACAGGTAACGATGGAGGATGATGGAGGGATTTGGTCCCATACATATTTCCCAGTTCGGGCTAGGCCGATTTTTTTCATCAGCCTGATCAAACTATGCTGGACTTTGCAATCGGCTCCCCCTACTAGTAAATCCCCCCCACCCACCCCCACCCCCCCCCCCCCCCAAAAGCCAAAGAAAGACCGCTTCCCGTTTACTTTTAGTTTTGCTAAACCAAAACTGCTTAACTCCTGACAAACTGCTATCAGCCCTTATTCAGGGTGCTTTCAGCATGTTCCTTCTTTTAATCGTAAACTCAATTTGTAAGTTGTGCCTTTGATATATTTTTTGAAGACACAAAGTCTGCCTCGAACAATTTTTGGACCAATATTCCTTCCTGAGCAGATTGCAACTTTGACAGTTGTTGCGCCCAGACTCCTTTGGGATGAGGACTGTAGTGGAAACCCCACGCTCTGGGACCCCCTGGAAGCCTACTAAAAAAAAGCTTGCCCGCACAAACATATTTATTAATAGGGAGATTTACTGATGGGGGGAAGGGATTAGGAGGTGGTTCTATTGCCTGGGCTGAAAGGGGACTAAAGACAAGCAAATCTAAACATCTAGCACCATTTTGGCGTCCTTGACCTCGAGCACGTAACCCTGGGTAGATATTTGCTGTGCCTACCCCAATAGTATGTAGCAAGAGGCCGTTGGATGGTGGAACCTACCAATTTGATTCCTTGCCCTTGCCGCCCTTGCCCTTTGCTGAATGATGAGTGTAGACAAATTCGATATGCATAAACATCGTATTGCCGACACTTGCAGGTGACTAGCTTGGAAGTGGGGAGGTAGTGTACCGTTTGTGAAAGGTTAAATACTGCCCTAATCTCCTCAAACAAGTGGTGCACAACCTTCACGCCTTCGACCTATTAGTGTCCTTGATACTGTGGACGGACGAAATCCTGCACCACTTTGAATCCATGGAAAACCATTTTTTGTATTTACATGGTGGTGCAGGATTTCCATCCACAGTAGGTGGGCCAAAAATGTTTGCAGCCGTGAGTCGATGAGAGACTCAGGCCATGCCCGAGGTGCACAAGGCAGGCTTTGCCGGGGAACGTGGAACCTAGCCCCGTCGTCTTTGAAGGCATTTAGAATTGACTGCTATTGGGTTGGATCTTCAGACTTTAACTCTTGGGAAATAAATGTGTTTTCCACCAAACCCCCAAAAAGTTAAACTTTTTGGCAGGGGGGTCAAGAGCAACCAAGTTTAGAATTACCCGTTTTTGGGCTCGGCCCCTGTTATTTATGTCTCGCCCCATTTGCAGCTCAATTCATCCTTGAAGCCATTGAAGCAGACATTCCACTTCCTCAAAGTCACTTTAAAGCACGTCCCCCTGTTAGGTTTCGTGCCACCTGTAAGAAAGTAGACTGAACATCTATGGTGTTACTTGTGACTCAAGCGCAGTGCCTATCACGCAATGAAGATAATGAGGTATTCTTATCTGCAAGAAATTGCGCGAAGCCCGGGAAAATGAGTGAGAAATCAACGATGGGGGAAGTGAATGTGTAGTCAACCTGTGGCACGCTCAAACCCACTTGTTGACAAGCCGAGTTCAAAGCCTACGCTGCACATATGAGCGTGTGTTTTTTCCGTGTTTTGAGTGGAAACTCAAGCTTGAACGATGTTTAAATCTTAGCTGAAGTGCAAAGAAATTCGAGGGACCTCCGTGCTCTGCGGTTTGCGGTTGGATCTTATGTTATGGAGTTGAACTCGCCGATTCGGGTGGAGAATCCCTGCCACCGTCCAATGAGAACTAAGGCGCTGGACAGCTTGCGAGGACGCAAGCCTTCACGCCACCCCAAGGCTTAGGTGACAAATAACATGATTGGAGTAGAAACCTCTGAAGTATGCATACATATATCATATACATACATTGACATATATGTATATATATATATATGCTACCCCCCAAATATATATATATATATGTATATACACACCTTTTTGTTGGTTTCAATGGTGTTTGCGCTGTGTTAGGCCTTTTTTGTGCTTTGGGGGGAGGTTACCATATGTATATATATATATATATTATGTACAGGTACTACTGTGGATGGGCCAAATCCTGCACCAGTTGGGATGGAGGAAACCCTATGACTACTGGGGTGCACCACCTACCGACTGGTGCGGGATTTTGTCAAACCCGAAGTATGCCCACACATTCTACGAATGATGAAATTAATATGAGCGTACATTGTATTACATACTGAAGATGGACGGCTAGAATGTTGGTGCGAATGGATTCACAGATCCATTTCAAGGAAGCCCGTGCGAGTCACATCAAACACACCAAATCCCCCAACTAGCAAGCAGCTTCAAACAACTCGTGCTTCACCAAAGCCCGCTGTTGCCCTGGAACTGCCTGGGCCAAAACCAACACCCACAGGCTTGCGCGGGGCACGCCCACCCGGTTGACCCATAGCGAGGCCCACGCACACCCGGCGGCAGTGGACCCGGCTGCGATTGCGGCACTGCAGCAAGCGCAGATGTTCGCGCTGCAGCAGGTGCAGGCGATACGCCTGCGACGTTTTCATGCGTGGGTCAAAATGAGCCACCAGGAATTGGACCTCGGGTTTTAGTCCATGTGTGCATTTACCAGGGTTGCATTCTGGGTACCTATTTGGAGCCACACCCATTTCTTATTTCTTACTCCCTCCGTTCAGCTTTACCCTCCAATCATGGAAGCTGACGATCGGAGGGCGCTATAGCTATAGACTTCTTCCTTTTCGGGTTCAGCTTTCTGTCCGCCTCCATGATTCTTGGAGAGGGTCATTTGGGTGTAGCAAACAAGTTTCATTTGGTGCCAGTCCACTCGATGGGAAGTGAGCTCTTCCAAGGGGTCAGACCCCACTCAGTCAATCCGATGTGTTAAGCTCCTTGTCCTTGGCCATCACTTGGCCATGGATTCGCTCATTTTGGAAGGGCCTTGAGTGATATATTGGCTTGATGGACAAAATCCTGCACCACCTAAGAAACCATCTTGGTTGGTACTTCCGGGCGGGGTCATGATTCCAGGGACTTTTAGGTGGTGCAGAATATCGCCCATCCCCAGTAGATTGGCTTTTCACGATGAGTTTCTCTTGTCGGGCTGTTGAAACACTAAGATATGGCTCTGTCTCAGTTGAATAGGGGGACCCCGTTTTGGATGGTTTTGAAGGGAACCTCACCCACTCGTACTTGGTTGGCCCCCTAATTTGGAGAAACACCCATATGCACAACATGTATTCCTGCAATGTTCACGCGAAGGCTGGACGTTGAATCGACGCGATCATGTTCAGGTATGGTTCCCTTTGGCTTAGATTTGAGCCGTGCATTTCAGTGAGCCATTCATTTTCAGGCCGCCCCTAATGTCAACTCAAGATTGCAAGCAAGGGAAACAGGAAACCTCCAGTCGACTGTGCCGTTCATCATGGTTGTGTGTTTGTTTTGGTAAGGCTGTGCAACATGGGTGTGTCCTTTTTTGGGAATCGGACCACAAAAACCTGGCGCCACTGTGCTCCTTTTTGGGTTTCCTGTTTGAACCCACAACAAAATGAGGTACCTTTCCCACCGATGAACATGGAGCCTGACTTTCGGGGGCCCCTTTGAAGGGAAGATGATCTTCCGGGAACCCCCGGAAACGCCAGGGTTCCTTGTGAATTCGTGGGAGGGTAGCCCTTTTCTGGTGGTTTCAGAAGGAAACCAAAGGGAAACCACTAATTCTTGGGGTTCCCAACCCCTTTTTCAAGACCAACACCTGTATGCGTGGCCACTTGCTGCCAAAAAACGACGAGCCAAGAGCGCAGTTTGCCACAGGCGGCGGCCGCCTCCAGCGAAGCGAGATCCAAAGGTGGGAGTGAGAGCGAAGTTCAGAGACTCGGAGTGAGACAGGGAAAGTGGACTCACCTAGATAGCCAAGTTGTGATCGCTTTTTTCGGTCACTGGCTCGGTTTTCTTCAGTCACTTTTTTCAGTTGTTGCGGGTTTTTGGGGTAAAGTGCCTGGAAAAAAAAGCGATCGCAACTGGCGATCCAGGCACTTCCTTCATGGAGGAGGGGAGGAGCCCCCAATTTAGCTTTTAAGACCTTCAAAACTTATTTGGGCTCCCTCCCCCACCATCCCCAAACCCCGTTTCCGAGTTCCGGGGGCTTGGATTTGTTTTGCGGCTTTGCATTGGAGTGTCTAGACATGCTTCAGCCCTTTCTTTGGCTGGTATTCAAAGGGGAAAATAGGAAACCAAACGTTGGAGGTGACCAAGTCACTATTTTGAGGAACCCCCATGTGTCTTGGCTATATGACTAGAACAAATGTCCAAATGAGTTTGAACCAGGTGTTTGTCACGAAAGCTAGCTTTAGCTAGCTGAAGTTTCTCCTTGCGTAAGCAAGGTAAGCGGCTCAAATGCCGAAAGATTGATTTTCTCAATTATTTGAGCCGAAAAGATTGAAAAACATCAATTATTTAGACCCCCCCCCCCCGGGTCTCAGGCTCGATTCCTCCCTGGTCCATCCCCCCCCCCCGGGCAGTGGCTCAGTGTTCAGCAGTCTCGGTTTGCCCGTTTTGGACTTGGTGCTACGAACTTTTACATGTTCCACCGATTCAGCTTGTTCATTTGAGACCTCAGTCTTCTCGGTAAACCACCTCGCAAGAATCTTTGCACACGCTGCATGCAGAACCCAGAGGTGCTTTAAGACAGCTTCTGACGCCTCTCGTTGTTTTCATTTTTCAAGGTTTGCCACGCCACCATGTGCGTTTGCGTGTCGCATCCTACGAATCTTGCCGGGCCTCTCGTTGTACACAAGCTACCTATGAATCCACTCTGTCACCGACCCATCCCATGCAACAACTGCTAGCTTTCGTTCACCCGCTCCTCAAGTGTGTGTGTGTGTGTCTCTGTGTCTCTCTCGATCTCTCTCTCTCTCTCTCTCTCTTTGGCATGTGCATTTGTGTGTGTGTGTCTGTGTGTGTTTGCATTTGTGTTTGTGTTTGTGTTTGTGTGCGTGTGTGTCTCTGTGTGTGCGCGTATGCGTTCCAGTGTTTTGTGATGTGTTTGGGTGTTGTGTTTTTTTGGGTGCGTGTGTGTGTGTGTAGCCGGGCGTCCCTCATCCGGCGGTTTGGATTGTTGGTTTGCTAATTTGAAGCCTAGTTCCTTCTGACGTCCATGGGGAGTCCTGGGAGGATACCGCACGTCCAAACCACAAGGCCAAACCTTAGTAGCGGTACGATTGCGAGCTGCATGTTGAGGTCTTTGCATCGTGTGGCCTACTTGTGGCTTCTTTTTCAACCCCTTGGCCGCTTTTGTTTTGGGGGTGGCCGCCGGGGGGGGACCTGTGAAGCGGTGTAGAACACGGTGTTTTGGCTGGGCGATCATAAAATGAATCAAGCAAGTGTGAGCTTCAGCGGGCCATTTTTGGCTCGGATGCCTTCCTCGCGACGCTTTGACGCAGGCAAGAGCAAAGGCAAGAGCAAGGGCAAGCCCCAGCAGGAGCCTTGAGTCGAGATCTCCGGCTCCCCAAGTATCGCGTGTTCCTGTTCCGGCGTTCCGTAAGAAGCTCCAAAGACAAAAGCCGAGCCTCGGGGCAAAAATGCAGCCATTGTGTGTGTGTGTGTGTGTGTTGCTTTGAGGGGCAAACATGTGATTTTTGTGTGCCTCTCCTTGCTTTCCTTAAATCTATCCACCAGGGAGTCCCACACCCGGCAAGTGACTCAGGGCCAACCCCTGTCTTCCTTGGGTGTGTGGCTTTCAGCACCACCTGATTGACACTGGAAGAGTCTCCTCATTAGAACAAATCTCCACATGTTGGGCTGCTCAAAAGATGAGCCAGACCAAGAGGAAGCCACCCAAAATATTGGTGTTTTTGCTCTGAGCGGACCCTCCTAACTGGTGATGTTCCTCGTGGTTTCCCTTTGAGCTATCAAAAAATGAGGGGCGGGATGGGGCAAGGAGTGGTTGAGGCTGCAAAATTATGGGCACCTCCGTAACATGGGAAAAAAGACATTGTTTTGTTTTCTTGTTGCTGCAGGAGACCGCGGCAGTCGCTGACCCGCCTCCTCCCGACAAGGACAGGGAGTGTCCCAACCTGTGGTCGTGGTACAAAATTGATGGCCCTGGTTGACCTAGCGGCTTCATAGTCACCAGGGCCACCTGTGTTCCCGAAAGAACCTAGGGACCAAAACATCTACTTGACATGTATAGCCGGACTTGTTGCGGTCTCCACAGGACGACGTGAGCAGAGTGGTGGTACCTGGTACTTGACATGTATAGGTGTTTGCTCCCCCGAACGGGTTCCTTCTACTTCGCCAAACGCAGAACCAAGAAACGGACACATGTCTAGAAGAAGCTCCTTTTGGGGACTGTTGGGGTTCCATGTGAGACAGGGACCCATTGCCAGGGATACCGACGCACCCCAAAACAATTACACGGTTGCCTTGGATAGTTACCCCAAGAACGCATTCTTCTCGCAGCAAGCTGCCCGTGTTGGACCCTAGGCTGAGTTCCTATAAGCTGTATCAGTGACCCCGAAAGCTACAGCGGCTCACATATGGACACATGCAATCAGACTTTGATTTGCTGACGCTTGCTCAATGCATCGGAAGGAATTTACTGGCTACTTGAAGTCCGTGAGTGAGAAGAACGGCTACGGCTTTATCGTGTGCACCGAGATTCAGGAGAGCATGATGCCTAGAGTTGGCCGCTGGAATGGTTCGTTCATAGATCAGGCTGCAGAAAAGTGGGGTCCGGATTTATGCCAATAGCCTATTCATGTCATCACTCGGCGGCCATGTTCGATGCTTGGCACCACGTTTCTGGGTTTGCTGGAATATTTGTTCATTTGATTTCGCGTTTTGAAGTGCGCCACCTGGGGCTGTTCAAATTTCCGTTCGGCCCCCAAAGGACCATGCATACCTTTTCCAACTTGGTGGGACTTGTGGGTTTTCCCGATTGCTGATTCCATGTGAGGGACCTTTTTATTAACTTCTCCAAAATTCCCCAACCAAACATGTTTTTTGGCTGGGGTCAACAGCTGAGATAGCTTTGGGGGGTGGTTGGAAACGAGCCAAGGAGCTGGGGGTATCCAAAATTGCATTTAAAGAGGGAGCTAAGCAGCTACCAGGAGTTCTCGAAGGACATGGTTGGCTAACTGACAATTTTGGGGAAGCGCCACGCTCGTTTGAGGGTGAGCTTCAATTTTCACACCCTTTCAGAATCTCAGTCCCTGCATTTCTGGCTTCCAGAGTTCAAATATAGAGGCTATTCATCTCTTGAGCCGGGCTTGGATATGGAATGGGCGAAACCAAACGCTAGGGGACCAAAATGAGCGCCCGAAACCTCCAATTCGTAGTAGGTGGTGCCGATACCATCTACTACCCGCATGTATCAAGCTTATAGAAAGATATGTCCCTGTTGTTTGCATGCTTTCTAGTTGCTTGTTTTTGTTGGTCCTGTTCATTTTTGGTAGGGGCAACAAGACCAGTGTTTTGCTACCATGCCAAGGGTTGGACAGTCTTTATAACCATCTAAGGACAAAAAGTGAACAGTCGGGTTGGCGCAAGCCGGCTTTTGGGTGCGGAGGCATGAGTCATGAAGAATATGGATCTGAAATTCGGGAAATCCGCCACAGTTGGCGTCGTTTGGGTTTTCTCCAAACAGGGGACCAGTAGAAAAGGACGATTCTCTCCCATTTGGGTATGAAGTTTACTTGGGGTCGCTTTGGTGGCACAATTTACATAAAGTTATCGTATGAATAAACCAACCACGATCAAGCATCACGCCTTGGTGACTTGCGGTGAATACCAAGCAACAGAAACGAGCCATTTGGCATAGCCCTCAATTTGAAAGCATAGCCCTATACAGGAGACCTGCTGTGCAAAAGGGATGCAAAAGTGCTGCAGCTGGTGTTGTTCGCCTTGCAACCGGTGTTTCCCGAAGGTCCGCAAATAGGAGGGCAAATAACACCTTCTAAGTGGGTTTTGCTGGTTGCACATCCCTTGTCTAACTCAGTCCCTGAGTTCTTGGACTTCCAAAGGCAATTATCGGTGGCAAGCAACGAAAGCCCAGGTTTGTTGGTCTTATCTCCTTTGGTGTTCCTGTTTGAGCAAACCAACTTTTCAGGCACTGCCAAAGTGCTCCTCGCTCGGAGGAGCGTTTTAACCGAGACGTGTGGATAGATAGCAACTTGCTGCCCGAAGGGGTGCGGAGCTTAGATTGACATGGCGGAGGGGATGCGTAAGCCTCCCTAAGGCTTGAAGGCTGAGGAAAAAGCCGAAGGTAGGCTCACGTTTACCCACTTGGAGCGACCCGGGTTGAAGCGTTGTGTTTTTCTTAGGCACAGAACCCCTTTTCAGCAACCTGATGGAGAGGTTGGGGTGTTTGACGACTCGACCTTTGCATGAGTAGTAGGTGGCTTTGAAGGGTTGCACAGTCGTTTGAAAGTGAAGTCCGTTTGTCGAAGTAGCATAGAGAGCCCTGCTCATGTTGCCAATGAGCCATGTGAGCTATTCCCACCTGGCCAAACACGTGGGTGGTAGGAGCACCAGACGCGATTCTCCACCGCTTTGCGCGCTCCGTGGGGCCAAGTGTCAGAAGGGTTGGACCATTGCACGCATGGCGCGCTAGGGGCGCGCAACTCTTGACGTCTCTTGACCAGAAAGCGCAACTCGCGAACATGGGGTTTCCATTTTTGGGAATGGCTCGATCGGGCAAGATCAGCTCCTTTTCGGAGAGGTGTCCCTTTCGCCCCTTGCAACTCTAAGATTGTTCATTGCCCACCGCTGCGACCTTGGCCTCCCAGTTTTGATCTATTGGTTCTGGCCCCAGAAGGCATTCCTTGCAATCATCTAGCGTTTTCAACTTCTGATCTGTCCCAACCATCCTGCCAAGATTGGATAAATCTACGGAAGATGTGCAAAGAGTTGGCCTCCCTCCAACAGAAGCTGACCATTGAAGGGTTTGGAACACGAATTCCTTCCGATCCTCCAGGTTCATATTGACACACTCATATGGCTGTGGCTCAAATGACCGGTACCCCAAAAGGAAGCCTGGCAGAAGCATGGACCAAAACCAGCGTAACCCCAGCTGTTGTAGTTGTTTGAGCCATATCCATGTTTTGGAGGGCCAAGTACACCTTAAGGAAGGCTGAGCTTCAAAACTCGAGATGTGCAGAGATGTGCAAGTTACCCTTCATTGGTGGCTTGGATTGCAATTCGGAGATTGGAAGCCCTGGTCCTTGTACGGGAGAGAAACCACCCTCTAACATCCAGAGTATCATTCCTAACCACCAATGAGAGGGAAGCTGAGATGTGTTTATTTTGTGCGTATGTGTATGTCTATGAGTACGTATATGTGAGTGTCTAAGTGCATGAGTATGAGTATGTGTGTTTCTATGTGTGGGTGCGAGTCGTATGCATTGAGGCAGATCCGGAGGCTCAGACCCAGATGAAGTTCAATGTGACCCTGAGCCGTGCCCTCGGTGCCTCGTTTTGGACGGCGCAGACCCAAGACGCAACGAGCCTTGGACGCCTCACCGGAGCTTCCGGCTTGAACTGCGCGGGTGAACCGGTCACCGGTGCTTTGGTTATTGGGGCTTCTGGGCGATTCCATGCCCAGTGTAGTGGGCTCCACCCTCTAAATCCTCTTCGGGTAAAATACGCTTGAGGGCAGCCTCAGCTCTGGGGTTTTTGCGGGACGGTTGCTGGCTCATGCGCCCCAAGCCAGTCAAGTATCCTACAGGCCTCACATCAAACAGCCCCTGAATCATTTTGTTGGGTTGGCCCTTGGATTGACTGGAATCGCATTCACTTTGACCTCTATCTTCCAACTTGCTTTCAGTTATGATACGTGATGGACTTGTCTCACTCACTTCCTGAGTTCTTGGACTTGAGTCACTTTTCGGCTTTGGACCATTTTAGTGATGCCTTTGTCCGAGTAGTCCACTCGATCGGAAGTGAGGACTCACGGTCAGGGCCCCCTCCTCCAGCGTTCGGCTCGTTTTTTGCGGACGTGATCCGAGGCTTGAAAGGCCACCCACAGGCCAAGAACGTGGCCGGCGGCATGTCTTGGCCGTTTGGCGTGTTCAAGCGGCGCCGTGGCTCGTCTTTCTTTGCAACTTTTCTTGCTGGTGCGATAGGCAGGGAATGAGAAATGGAATGAACCTGGGGATTCCCTTACGGCAAGTTCCAGGGTCATTCCTTCATTCCCTGCTGAGCACGAAAAGACAGACCCACTTCGGAATTTGGACCCTACATGGACCTTCAGGCAGGGCTTATCCTTGGCTCCTGGGCTGTAAAGATAGCCCTCCCGCCAAAAACGGCCTGTGTGAAAAGTTTGTTCTGAGAAGCCCTCACATGGTCCTGGGGCACCAGACGAAGAGACATCTACCCTCCCACCAATTAACAACCTGACAGGGGAGTCCCTTCAAAAGGAACAAACCAGGATCTCCTGTCAGGTTCCATTTGAATTGGAAGGGTAAACGGAACCCTATGATCCAAGGGATTCCTAGGGTTTTCCTAGTACACCCTGAGATTACGCCGTTTGGGGGAATCACCCTTTTCTAGCCTATCTCCTGGTTATATTTTAATTTGTTTGGGATTATTTTGGGTAATCAGGTAATCTCCCTAGGGTCCCAGCGTGCAATAGCTTCACTGCTCTTGGATCAAGATGCCTTTTTTAAACAAATGTTCTCTTCATTTTTTGTGTTCGTGGACTTCAAACAAAACAGGACCCGTTTTTTGCAAGCCCATAGCGTCTGGGTTGTGAAGAAATCGGATCCCAAGATCTGAGACCCGGCTTGGGGGCGTCGGAGCTTCGCCAGGTGAAGCTGCTCTGAGCTCGCGAAGTCGCGAAGTCGCGGACATGGGACGGACAAAGCCCCCGATGTTTTGCTCGGGTTGCAGGGGAACCGCGGATTTTGTTTGAACATCCCGTACCAAGGAGAAAGTTACAGACAATATTTTCCGGGTCAACGGTATGAAGGTTCCTTGCAAGAGGACTTGCAAACACTCAGTTCTCTTTTCGATTGCCTTGCTTGAGGTGATGGACTTTGCTTCCAGATGCTTCCAAACGGCCACTCTGGGTTCGGAAGCCTGAGTCAATGCGTTGTTTTGGTGGGGCGGTGACGGGAGTGACGGGAAACGGAGCCCACAGCCCCAAAAACGGGGCCCCCAAATGGCACCCAACTGGCGCCGAAAAAAAAAAAAAAGAAAAGAAAAAAAAAACCCAAAAAAAAAACTCGCCTGGGAGGCCGCTTGACTTTGGCCTTTTTGGGGGGAAGACCTAGGACTGGAGTCTTCCGATTCCTTTGCATGAGTCTCAATGTGTTGCTTAGTTTGGTAGGGGTTGGCCAAGAGAGTTCTATGAGAAGTTCACTGGGTGAGAACTAGCTCATATTTGTTAATTCAGAAGGAAACCAAGCAGAGGAGGGGGTGCAAAGTGTTGTCGTTTCAGGCCCCCTATTTAACACCTAGATATTGGTGTGACTCGCCATGCCCGCGCAGACAAAGCAGAACGCAGCATCGTACAGGAGTTTCGGGTGCAGGAGTCTCTTGACGGCCTACGCTGACATGTCGCAGGTTCTTCGGCCAGCGCTTGGATATGTGAAGAAAAAGGGTGAAATCATGGGTACCTTGTAGAAAGGGTACCTTGTAGAAACACCATACTGTCCTCCCTCATTTTCAAAAGGGAAGCCACACCACCCACCCTGCTTTTTTTGTTTTCTTTCGGGTTCCTTTCCAGACTAATTGCTAATTACCTTCGACAAATGGCCCAAATGGCCTAAAAGAGCAAGTTTCGTCTAGGTATGACCAAGCAAGGGGTCAGAAGGACCAATCTGCATTCTTGCTAGAAGCACATCCCTTAGCATCATCCAAGTCAGCAGTCAGCAGGCCCAAAAGAGGTCGTGGTTCCGATGGAGATGCAGCGGAGTTGTGGAGAGAAAAAGCGAACTGCACCGAGTTCCGAGTCAGGCTGGCCCTTTAAGGAGGCCGTTTTTGAGGCAAGTGGCTAGCGTGTTGCTGAATGGCTGGCCCATGACTGCGTGACCACGTTCGACATGAACAAAGGGTGACCCATTTGAGAGAAATCCATCCACCAGAATGTATAGGGCTTGTCTCAAGATAGCGGAAGCCACAGAACATGGCTGTCTGGTTTCCGGCTGGTGGTTTTTGAGACTAAAACGGGGGGTACCCTCACAACAAGACTAGGAATCGGAGCCTTTGAACTCGGTGCGCTTGCTGCTTTGTGCCTTTGCTGGAGAGTCCTTTGGCAGGGCGTCCCTATATTTCCCTTTTCGGGCGGTTTTGGAACATCACCTTTTTGGCCCATGAAAGGTGCGTGCCCCTTGGTGGGGGTGATGTTTTAAGGGGAGATATAGCAAGAAGGACCTTACCCAGACCTCATCTCTTACTACCCTCCCCGCGCCACACCAGCATATTTAATCAAACCACTCGCCAAAATCTATATAAAATGCTTCAAGTTATTCATTTTAAAGAATAACTTAAACCATTTCAATCAACTTCGCAACATTTATTGATATGTCCTTCACTTGATACATGGTCGCACCAAGAATAATAAATTTCTTTCTTCTTACATTTCAAACATTTAAACCACAACACACCATTTACAATTTCTTTACTATCCGGTCGTTCCAGTTTTTCACCATTCAAACTTTTCTGTAAAAAATATTGATGGTTCAAAGATTTCTCGTGTTGAGACTTCTTACCTTTTTTAACTTCATAATCGCACAATTCGCAATAGTGAACCTGTTGCCGGTTTGCTTGTATTGTTGCTTTCCCTGCTTCGCTCTCTCTGTATTTCCTGTTCTTTTCTCTGTATTTCCTGTTCTTTTCCTGTACTCTGTCAGGGTGGTTCTCTCTGTATCTGCGTTGCTTCTCCCATACTTTTTCAGGATTGTTAATTCTCCATTGTCTTTTGGTTTCCTCTCTCTTCAATCTGTTTTGTTCTCGGCAGCAATCACAAAGTTTAATCATATTCTTAAACAAATCAGAAGAATATGTAGTATCACATTGCTTACATTTTTTCATATCGTCGTTCATCTCCTACCATAGTAAAAGAACATTTCTTTAAATGGTTTTAGACATAATCCATAACGAGGTCTGGGTAAGCCACCTGTCCCGAAAAAAACCCACCAAACAACAAACCAAACAAAAAACCAAACAACCGACCATACAATAGATAATTACAAACCCCTCTAAACAAATCGAAACGGCAGATGCACACAGGCAACTGGTAGATGCGCAGACATGTAGATGCCTTTTGGTGGCGCTTCCTGTGTCCTGTGGTGAAGCATCCTAACCTTAAGATTTTTGCATCCTAACCTTAGGATTGTTGCATCCTAACCTTAGGATTGTTGCATCCTAACCTTAAGATTTTTGCATCCTAACCCTAGTATTTATGCATCCTGATATATCTATATAATTTTGGTGCTTTATCTATTTTATAAACTATGGATTTCTCCCCTTAAAATTCATTATTTTCAAAATTTTAAGTTTCATATTTTTTACTCTTTTGTCATTGGATGAACCTAGAAATTTCAAGTTTCAACACCAACCCCAAACTCGTTTTCCTTAATCCACCAAACTCACCAAAATATCACAATTAATATCAGCATTTTTCAAATCCAACGATATTACATTAAAACCGAGCGACTTTGCAATAAGTCCAACACTGCCTGTGCCTGAAAATAATTCTAATAAATTCATATTATTAGAATTATTTATATTTTAATTTTCAACAATTACATATTTACCATCATCACCCTTAATTAGTTTATAATATTCTAACGTTTGTTCTTTTGGACTTTTGATTTGTCCCTTATTTAACATATCACAATATTTTTTACGCTTCGTGTCATAATCACCGCTGGGTCTGCCTATCCCTTTCTTTTCAAAGATTTTGTCAATCTTTTCCTTCTCTTCATTGTTATTGTTTGGTTCGTTTGCCTTTGCATCAAGCTTCTGGTCAATAGTTTTTATCATCTCGTACAACAGTTTAACATTTTTACTAACTGTCATTATCTTCTTTGATAGTTCAGCAATAGCATCATTCTCAACTTCAGACATTTCTATATATAAATATTTATATATTTATTTATTTATGCGTTTGAAGTGGTGTTAAATCTACTCTTTAAATACTATTTTTTCATCATTCTTTCTCAGGTGTAAATAACCTACCAAATCCACTTTTGAAGTTTTCTACCCAACTTTCTTCAACTGTGCTCCCGTCGGCATCTTTCTTTTTTACTGTATGTACTGTATGCATGGTTCTACCACATGAACACGGCCAACATTTAACTTTAACATGTTCTTTATCTAATTCTAATTCATTTAATGGTTTAATTGTTTGACCGCATTTTTCGCATTTGACACATTCAATCTCTTTTTGTTTCTCTTGCTTCTTCTTTGGAGGCATTTATATTAATATTTACATTTTTATTTTTGATATATTGAATTCCTAACTTAATTATTTCTATAACAAAATAGCATACTTTCTTACATTTATTGTCAGTTATTATTACTTGTTCTATATTTTCTACTTCATCTATTATATCAATATAATCTGTATAACTCCTTTGCATATTAAATAATAAGATAAATTATTCTAATTAATCTTATTATTTCATGCATAATAGAATATTGATGGGGCACAGCACTTGGAGTTGTCATTGCAATTCTTCAAACTAATTATCTTCAATGCTTATTGATTGAAGCAATGGAAAACCTGTTCCATTTTATGATATTCGCCACCAGCATATCATAAAAATGATGTTCCATTTAATATTAATTACAAGTTAATTTTTAAATATAATTTTCTATATTTCTTTAATATCAACTATGACAGATGTCCCAATAATAAAACCAATAAACATAATTGATTATGAATTCAAACAATCTAAATATGAGCACGTGCCAAAACTACCATTTAGAAGTATTATAGTTGCGAGTTCGACAGGTGGCAAAACGGTCTTGGTTCAGAACCTTATCTTAAATGTTTATAGAAATTCATTTGCAAGAATATTTATATTTTCCCCCAGCGTTCATAATGACCCAACTTTTACAGAAGTAAAGAAATATATTAGGGATGAACTACATGTAGATGATGAAAAAGAACAAATTTATTTGGATAATTATAATCCAAGTGATTTAGAAAATGTAATCGAAAGACAGAAGAAAATTATTAACTATATGAAATCTAAAAAGATAAAGAAACTGCACTCAATATTAATCGTTATAGATGACCACGCCGACGACCCTAAATTTGTTAGATATAGTAAATTATTACATGGATTATTTACCAGAGGCAGACATGATGCAGTAAGTGTGATTTGTTCAACACAAAAATATAATGTGTTGGCGCCTATCATTCGTTTAAATGCCAGTTCATTATATATTTTTAGGTTGAAAAATGCCAGTGAATTAATGAGTTTTATTGAAGAAAATAGCGCCATTGTTGACAAACAGCAATTATTAGATATGTATCATCAAGCAGTGAATGACGCACCTTATAGTTTCTTCTACGTGAATATGAATGCTAAAGACATTAACAAAATGTTTCATATCAGATTTGAACAGGCATTTCAAATTACGAATGATGAATAAAGATAGTCTAATTTAATATAATATAATATGCCAATGAAACAATGTAGATGTGGTGGATTTTATCGTAGAGGTAATTATAATTTTCATACTAATTCTTGGATACATAAACTTTATAAGGTATTGAAAAGAAGGGCAACAGACGAGGAATTATTAAGATTTCAAAATAATTTTGTTGATGAAGACGATTTAATAGATGATATGTGTAGCAACGCCTCAACAAAATTACCCGAAAGTGAAATGACAGATTATGATAGTAATTAATAATATTAATGTATGTTAATATTATCAATTT